ATTATACAATGCATTGGATAAATTAAAAAAAAATAATGATAACAATATTATTATAGCTTGTAGCTATGCATAAAAGAAACTTTTTTATTAATTTATTTTGAAGTAGGGTTTGCACTCCTCTATTGCGGCCAGACATGACGTTTGCACTATCATATGCCTGGCTTATTATATTTGTTGAATTAATATTTATATCATTAAGTTGCTTTAAAATGCAATTAGTAATGCTTTCAGCAGAAAAACACTTTAAATTAATAATTCCTATTAAATTTTCTTGGATTTCTCAAAAAAAATAACAAATAATTATGTTAAGGTTTTCACAACCTTATGCATCTTTTGTCTCATCAGCCTAGACCAATAGGTGGCATCTCACTTTTGTTATATTTATCTGAAATATATTCAAGCACCATATCTGCCATAATAGATACTACTTCGTTTTGAATCAGGGGTGATGTATATTGAGCATTTTTGGGTATAAATTTCATAATTTTAATAAATTCAGGATCTTTTTGGATGGTGCATGATCCAGAAGAATAAATAATGTTTTCATCAGTTGTAGTATCCGTAATTTTTTTGAACCATTCCCGCGAAAAGGTATCTCCTGTATGCTAAAAAATAGCATCAAATTATATATTGATTTAAGATAGTAAAGATAACGGTTAATTTGCACCAAAATTGTTGTTTTCTAAGTATTCCTCTTATTCTAAAATATTCACGCTGTTTTAAAGAGCTGGTTATATTATAATAATAATATTGTGATTGAACCATAATAAATAAAATAATTATCATTGAAATAAGTACAATTTAAACTCGATGCACTTATAATGTCATACACAAACACACACGAAATTGATAAAATAAATGAATGGTGATTTATTAATGGATAAAAATAAAACAGGATATTATAAAGAAATTTATAATATAAATACAAAATATTTTTTTAATTTGGGAAGGGGAGTTTGATGGGGGCCATTTTTTGGGGCCAAAGATTTTTTTTTGAAGGCGGTGCCTGACCCTGGGCTTTTTCCTGGCTCCGGCCTTGCTAATGAAAGGTCTCTTTAATCTTTGAAAAGGTTAAAAACCTATTTAAGAAATAGCACTGGTATAAAACCGTTTAAATGCATTAGCCCTATTAAATATTTATACGGAAATTATTCTGGATAAAAATTTGTTTCTAGATAATTAGCCAAATATCAGAAAGTAGATCTCTCTTTCTTTATAAATTCAAATGATATAATTGCAATATGATTATAATGTTCATAGTCATAAGATTTTTATATGCAAAACTTAATTATAATAAAATATTAGTCATAATATTTATATATTTTTTATATTGTACTATTTTTAATAAAAGTATTGCATTGCAATAAAAGTTATTTAAATTTTTATAATATAATCATTTGTATTAATTATATATTTTTTTATATACCGTTATGTGCAACTAGAATTACATATATTTTATTAATATTTGGTATTATATTTTTTTTAAAATACAGTTATTTGCAATGAATTTTTAATATAATAATCTGTATAAAATTTATACATTTTTAAATTTATTTTATTGCATATCATCATTAAAATAAATACATAGTTAAATAAAGGGATGTTATTTATATAAAGTATTTTAATAAAAAATAAAATATATAATGAAATTCTATGTAAAATTTTGTTATATGCAAAAATTTAATTAAAATAATTATTTTTAACATAGAATATGATATATTTATTGAAGAATTAACATAAGATAACATCTTTATTCTTTGTACAGTTAAACAAATCATGCAGAATTGTGATATAATAACTTTTTTATTCTATATATTATTACAATTACAATTTGATTATTCATATTAAAATAAATTACATTTTTCTTTTTTATATTATTATGAATTACATTTTATTTATCTTCCCTTTAACTAAAAAAATGTTCTTTTTATATCTTTTTATAAACAATAAATAAATCATGAAATAACCAATTATATAAAATGAATATGTTCGTTTAAAATAGAATTTAACTTGATATCAAAAAATATATCAATTGTCAAAATAAATTGATTTTAAAATAATGTTAATACGATAAAATAAAACGTTAATATAAAATAATCTCGATCACATATTTAACATTTATCATAAAAAATGGGAGGTTTGGGGGAAATTTTTTTTCCTCTTTCTACATAGAGTGGATTGAATTAATTCACAATTCAACATTGATAAAATTTCCAGAATTATGCTTTAGTCGCCAATTAATCCTAAATTTTGTTATTAATATTTTTTCATTTATGATAGCTACTTAAGTGGTTAGACACCAATATAGCACAAAATATTAACAAATTTTAGAATCAGTATTTACAATTGTTCAGCCAACTTTAACAAAAATGATATAAAGATAACTACAGCAAAATTAACATTAATATTTTTTAGAGACTAGGTCGAAGGAAAAGGAGCTTGGGGGCGAAGCCCTCAAAATAATTTTTGAACCCCCCTCCCCCTACGGATAAATCTTGGTTAAGCCACTGATACTAATAATACCTTAATGTAAAATAAATAGCTATTTGTATTTGGGAGAAATAGCTTCTTGCCTTGTTTTCTCCCTCACATTCATAACTATACCCCACTTTAATGCTTCAATTTAGTAGGGTGTAGTTCCACGCTTTTTTTAACTATACATCTGTGTAACAACTTTATGCCATAGTTGATTCAACAACTTTAAAAATAGAATATAGTGTCAATTATATTATAAATTGAGCAACAAGACTTGATGTGGTTAAAACTAAGACTAATTCATCCCTCGAAGACTAACAAAACAATAACAGGAATGTTACCACAGATAACTGGTTACCCAGGTATATTTTCATTAACTATAGTAGACACCTTAACAGGGTCTACATGAGAGGGAGGGGTAGGAACAGTTTGCATCCTATTTTTTGAGGGGGATAGGGGGTAGGCTGCTTTAACGGGTAGGATAAATTTTTTGGGAGGTTATCTATTAAATTTGGAGATCAAATAGGACAAAATTTATTGCTGTAAAAATTAATACTTTTATTATCAAATCTATATATTGAAAACAATCATACACATTGTTTTCTAAATAAAACATTCTGCTATCCTTTGCAATGTAATTTAAAAGGTTTCGATATTTTAGCAAGCTCATAATGCCATAATAATTAATTCATTGTAAATAATAGAGGTTTTAATTGAATTTATTATCTAAAAAATAAATTCTTTATATTCACAAAATATCGATAGTTGGTAGTAGAGATAGATTAATTTAAGTTATCCTTTATAAATTCTCTGAAGAGAATATCAATATATTAAAAGAGTGAAAATAATAATAAAAAGACACCGCCGCCAAAGGATGGCGTGAATTTTTTAGGGGGGTAGGCAAAGGTTTTTGAAGGGGGTTTGCATCCAGTGAAAATCCTGTCATGTAGACGCTGCACCTTAAGAATAAATGAAAAATATAAGCATTATTCATTTTGAAAATACTTATTCAAACTTTTTTGCTTTCCAAGAAAACACGACAGTACTAAAAAAGTATAAGCATTATAAATCCATTAATTAAGAAGTAAATAGATTAAAATTTACAAAATTATTTCTTATGGAGCTAATACCTCCATTAATGAGTAATAAATTTGAAAATCCTTGTAATAATAGATTGCTAGGAGATAATATTGGAAATACAAAACCCATTTCTATCAACAGAAAGGAAGGTGATTCTCTTGTCCAAGGGTTAAGGATATAAAAACTCTATTTACTTTCTCAAATCGTTGAAAGTTTGTATGCAAAGATGTATAATCTTTGATGTAAAATATCTTTTTAATATGTGATGTTTTATTATAAAATCTATATAATATTGAATTAATAAAATATATAATCATATTTGCCCTTTATTTATGTTTTTAGACATATACTATGACTAAGGAAGATTCCAATTTTTTTTTTGATAAACCTTAGTAAAATACCATAACTTTATTTAGAAATAAATCTAAAAATAATGTACTTATTATCTCTAATATTTTTATAATTGTGTATTTTAGATCTTCTACTTTATTATTTTCTGAGTATAACAATTTAAAATTAAGAGTTAAATAGACCCCATCCATGTAAATACAAGTTTTTTCACCTTTGTAGTGAAGATAACTATGCCACAAATATCTACAGCTATAAGATTAATCATAATTTTAATAAAGCTGGAAAAAAATTATATTATAGCATAGTAGGGTAATAATTTTGAATAATGACATATTTAAAATATAATAATTTATATTAAATTTTTCTTATATATTATTTTATCATAGGGAAAATAAAATTGTGTGTCCATGATTATTTTTGAATTTGAAAATCAATGTATGCTATAAATCAAGGGTGATCATATATCAATGAGTTGAGGTAGTGCATTGTAAAATTATATGTATTGACAAATGTTTTTTTTATAAATCTTGATCCTTTTTTTTAAATCTTTAATTTGTTGAAGATTTTGGCTTAAAATTACAGATTAAACTTGGATATCAAACGAATTTTTTTGTTTTTAATCCTATTTAGTATATATTATTCATATGAGCTAAATTCAAATCATTCTAGATTAAAAACAGTAGTCATTTTTTGTGAATTTGGTAAATATTTAGAAAGTATTTCAACATTCCCCCAAAAGAAATCCTCCATAAAATTTTTAAGAATTTGACATTGGAAGCCATAAAGCACTTTCTAAAATATTAACATTGATACTAGAATTTTTTTAAGGAAAGATGCTATTAATGTGCTAAATATTTTTAAAAAAAAAACATTAGGTTTACATCTATAAACTCCACCAAAATTCCAATTTCAATGCAAAGTAGTATATAATCTAGCACATTTTAAGTTTGCATGAATATTATAATATCCACCCAAAAATAATAGGTATTATAATACATTTTTTTCACAATTATAATATATAATTTAGTACACTATTTTAATTTTTAACATATTGAGAATAAATAAATAACATATAAAATTAAGGATAAAATATATTTTGAATAAATTATTTATTTTAATTGATGTAATATATTTATAATTGAATATCAGGTTTCACATAGGCATTGGTTTACAACTTCTAACAAATGAGGATTTTCTAAAGCAGCAGAAACTCTTTCTTTGTCTGCTAATTGTTTATTTATAGCAGCCTCAGATATGTGAGTGCTTGGAGTTATGGCAATATCAACCTAATTAACAGTCTAATAATCTATTAAATAATACAAATCTACTTTAAACCGTGAAGGTAATGTTCTTAACAATTTAACTCTAATAGACAGACCAATTAAGGTAGCCATACTACAATGAGGAATTGTAGGAGTAAAATTTATAGATATTAAATTGTTTGAATCTTCAACCTTTATAAAGATTAAAAATAAAACACAATCTAAATGATTACATGAATATTTTTTTCTTCAATAACATTAAGATGTTCAAGAGTTAAAGGGTGTTCAGGGTCATTAATTACTCTTAATAAGTCTAAAATATATATATATATACTTATAATTGTTTAAAATTATTAACCAAATATTTCACGAGAATCAAATTCATCTCTAATATTTTCATTCAATTCTTCTTTATTTATGAGACGTTCCCTCTTAATATTATATATAGCCGGATTTACATTTTCCAACATCTATCAACTGATAAAAACCCAACAGGTGATTGACATGTCAAAGGCTGTATGATCTGTTAGATCACATGACATTGACAGATGAATTTATAATATTAATGTTACTTATTATATTTTCAATTCTAATTTTCAAATACTTTTTAAATTCCCCTTTGATCTGTAAAATCATTGTACTTTATGAATGGTATATTATATACATACTTAAACTTAAATTTTTTTATGCATTTATAAAGAGCAAATACGAACCATTTGAATGGTTTAAAAAAAACCCATTTGGGGATTTATCAGACCAAATAAACAAAATAATATTATACAATTAATTATAACCAATATAAGATTATTCTATCTTCCTATTTCTTCTTCCTATATAATATTCCATTTATTGAAAGTAATAAATCCATCTATATAGCAATTTTTAAAAGGCTTTAATGTAATGCATAAATTAAATTGAAAGTTATTTTAGCTGATTTTATAGCTTTATTTATAAATCCTGATATTACTTATCTCAATAATGAAAATTAACAAGAAAGAGACTGTTGAAAGCACATGATGGCTAGCTGAGAATAAGAAAACTATTTTATTAAATTAAAATGAATAATTACATTGTGTTACTATATGTATCAAATTTCCAGTTTACATAGGCGTAGCCAGGATTTTCCAAAGGCGGGGGGAATTAATAAATTACTGGGGGCTTCGCCCCCAGACCCCATTTTGGGCTGGCTTTCGGATCGCTTTTGCACGGCCTTCGACAGGGTTACCTTAGTCTATTTATAGTCATAAAATAATTTTACAAGATAGGAGGTTTATTTTAATAAAATAAAAAAGCCTGGAACAAATATGAAATATAATTTTATTAGTTTAAATAAAATATAATAAATTACTTGTATATACATTAATATAAAAGCATGGTAATAATTTATTCCAAACAAGTATAAGAAATTTATTTATAAGTAAGTAGACATATAGTTGATATTCCTCTATTATATAGAATTAGTTACAAAATAGTTAGTAAAATTCCACTTTTACAGACATATTTGTCAGTCAAAGAATATATTATAGTTAATATTTTAACAAATTACTAATCAATGCTCTTGATAATAAATATAGCAAAAATTTGCATTCAATTATTTAACGCCATAAATATATTTTAAATAAAAATAATAATAAAAATTAATCTTCAAATTATTCATCCCACAATGTCTTTAAAAGATATTTTTTGATGTCATTCATTATCAATATTTTATAGTTTTATTTTCCGTAAAATATATAATTCGCTATATTGGTAAAAAATACTTGATTGTCATATGATAATTGATAAAATTAGATATACTGTAAATCTAGGACATATAATATTCCACTGTTTGTATTGTGCTTTAATTTTTTTATTTAATTTATGATTTAATTTTATCAATAGTTTTATAATTATATTTTACTTTTATTAAGGTAAATAAATTAAAATTTCACTTTATAAAAAATTATATTTGATATATTATATTATTAGTAATTTTATGGATCTATTATAAATAATTATAATGCATTTCACTTTTGTCTTAAGACTTATCTTTGGTTTAGATTCCATTTCTTAAAAAGTATTTTTGGTTCACTTTTTTTATATATAAATGTGTTTTTTTCAAAAATGTATATATTACAATGACATTAATACTATAGACTGCCGATTAATGTATATGAAGTGAAATTGAATTGAGTAGCGGCCATTTTGTGTTTGGATCTTATATGTAAGAAACATATGATAATTTCATAAATTTCAGGTTTATTTTTATTATATATTATATTTAAAATCATTTTTTTTTACTAGATGAATAAAAAACATTTTATAAACATTTGCAGTTTATTATTTAATGAATATCTTTAATATTTTATATAGACTAATTAATATAAAATAAAATCTGTATAGTAATATGAATATAGTTTAAAATTTTGTCATTTCTAGTGAAGTAAGGATTTATTGTTTTCTTCAATACCTCATGAATATCTTTAAGATTTTCAAATATATATCTTATCAAGTTAGAATGAATATTTTTTATAAGAATTAATTTAATATTTAATATTTATATATTCAATAACAAAAATAAAAGTGAGGAAAGATATATTATGATTTGAAATTTATTATAAAATATATTTTTTATATTTTAAGAAAATGATAATATATCGTAGTGCATATGGCTGTAACCAAAAATATTGTTCAGGATACAAAATATCCTTTCATAAGTATGATATCTCAAATTAAAAATTCAGAATTAAATCTAAAGATGCAGCTTATATTAATAACCTATTTTTTCTTGTAAAAATTATTATGTCAGATTTGCTATGAAAATATTTAACATGTGATTTGGAATTTTAGAAATTACTCCAAAAACAAAATTGAATATACATATATGATTTTATTAATAAATATTTTGAATTATATAAAAAAAATTTGATATAATTTCTTTTGTATTTATTTTTTTAGCAAATAAAAAGAGGTTATATTTTATAATTTATAAGTCTTTTTATATTTTATTTTTGCTTTGAATTATGTTATTCCCAATGATATATCATTGGTTATTCCCTAATAATTATAACTATCCATTTCTAAATATATTTATTTAAAATTAATTCACTAAAGTACAAAAATCAATAATGTATATGTATATTGTGAAAAATAAAATAATCTTATAAATTTTTACAATAATAAAAACAAATAATATATATAGTTATATTTTCTTCTAATAAAATAAATGTATTATTATAACTAAAAGTATATGGTATAAAGTAAAGTTTTTTCTTGCAAATAATCACCATAATTTTTCCTCGACCTATAAAAGTTAAATAACATATTTTTTTAATACTTGATTTATGCCATTGAAAAAGTACAGTTCTATTAAATTTTTGAGTAAGATCTAATTTTAATTTTTGATTACATTAGGCAATAATCAAAACAATATAACCATAAATGCTCTAAAAATGTTTTTTATTCATCTAGTAAAAAAATAATAAGATTATAAATATAATATATAATAAAAATAAACCTGAAATTTATGAAATTATCATATGTTTCTTACGTATAAGCTCCAAACACAAAATGGCTGCTACACAATTCAATTTTTACCACTTCAAATTTGATTTTGGCATTTCGATCGGCAGTCTATAGTATTAATGTCATTGATATATTATGATGAATAGTTTTATAAAAAAATATCAACTTTTACATTCTTTGTTTCAAATTATTGTTTATGATATATGCATACATTTTTTGGGGTAGGAAGTGGGCGGAGGACTAAGGGGGATATTTTTTATTAGCTTAAAGTGATATTTACAAAAAGTAATAAATTTCTGAAGGGGGGTTGGGTGGAATTTCCCCTTGTCCCCCCCCCCTTCTTTATACATCTTATTTTTTATAAAAAAAATATAAATTAAAAAAATTCCATTAAATTTGATAAAAATATTTTTTATTATACACGTTATAAAATATCAAATGAAAAAAAATTACTTGTTGATTATATTCAGTGGCGTAGCTAGAAATTTTCCTTAGAGGGGGTCCATACATATAAAAGCTGGGGGCTTTGCCCCCCCCCCAGACCCCCTTTAAAGGGCCTTCGGCCCTTTTGCCCGGCTTTCGGCCGGGTTTATCATACAAATCATAACCATATTTTCGATAATATATAATAAATATATTTTTTATCAATAATATGTTATTATAATTTAGTAGATTATTCACAATGACTTTATAATAATACTATCCAGAATAATTTCAATAGTAATATAATATCCTTCCACAAACATCAAAACCAGAAAAATATAATTCATATAAAATCACTTTTAAGTCTTTTGAACGTATAATCTAAAAAAGAAATTTTGCTCTGGGAGGGGTCCAAACCCGAAAACCACCCCCGTAGCTACGCCACTGTAAATGAATTTTTAATATATCATGCAGCACTTACATCTGCAAATATTACTTCCACAAAAGCCTTCTCAACCTTTTTCAGATGGTGATAGAAAAAAAATATTTGTTAGATTTTTATTATGAAGATGTTAAAGTATCTTATGATGACTTACTAGCTGAATATCTATATTTATAAGATTAACTATAGTTGATATAGTCCCAAAAAATGCTATGGATGCTCTGCATTATTACAAACACATTTTAGATTAAATTCCCAATGTATTAAAAGGGTTTATAAACTCTTCCCATTAGTAAACTAATGAGAGAACACTCTCTTTTTTAAGAAGAATAACAGAGGCCTGCAGAAGTACCATTTGCAGGGCACGGCCCGGATTTTTTTTAAAGATTTTTTCAGGCCCGGCCCGGCTTTTTTTTTTAAATTTTTTAGGCCAAGTTCGTCTTTTTTTTAAATAAAATTTTCAGGCCCGGCCTGGATGTTTTTTTAAAATAATTCATGCCCGGCTTGGGTGTTTTTTTAAAAAAATTCAGGTCCGGCCCGGGTGTTTTTTAAAAAAAATTCGGGCCTGGCCCGGGTTTATTTAAAAAAATTAAAATATTGTCCGGCCCAGGGGCCGGGCCTGCAGGTATCTGAAAAACATACCAAGAAGTACAACATGTGAAAGTAGATTGAAAGGTTTGGATCTTTTGAATATTCAAAGGCATTTGACGACAAGTAAGGATGAGATAATTGAAAAATTAGCTCAATCCCAACGAAGATTGGATTTACATTGTAAATATATAACATACAAAATACAATTATTCCTAAGAAACCTTTTGTGTAAAGGCTCAAAAAATTCAAATTTCTAGGGTCATTTAAGTGATTCTTTACGTATAATTTTTTTATAATTTACATTAATTTAAAATTGTGTATTATGAATAGTTATTTGTCCTAATAAATTTATGCTTGATATTTTTAAAAAACAATAAAATTTCTTAAAAAAATTTATTATCCCCACCCAGACCAAATTCCTGCGTACGCGCCTGTATTTACAAATGTATAAACATTATGACCTTGGAACAGAAACCATCAATTGATGGTTTTTATAATTTAATAAATACATTAAAAATACCGAAAGACATTGATTTCTTGTTTGAGGAGATTGTAATTCTCTCTATTTTTTATGATTCGCCAAAATACTTAAAGTTAGATGGTCTAAAGGCAGAGGAGAAATGGGTAGAATTTTTTCGTAATAACGATAAATCTCTATGCTTGGAAAAAATATGCGAGTATGTCTTCTCCTTACTTCATTCTAAAGCTTCATCCGAGCGAATTTTTAGCCTGTCCCATGATTTTAACGACTCCAATATAAGTGCAAACCTTACTTGTGGTAGAACAAAAATGAGCAAGGCTATCACAAGTGTTTTAGTACCTGAATCCTAGAAGTCAATTCTAGATGATTTGAAAGATGGGCATCCATATGCAATTCTGATAGATGCATCTAATAAGGGAAATATTAAAACATTTCCCTTGATCTTTCGCTATTTCAACAAGAATAAGAACATTTTAATAAAACTGTTAAATTTTTTTCCTCGGATAGTGAAAAATCCAACGATGTAGCTAACCACATAATGTAAATATAGCTGATTCAGGGTTATCACTGAATTGCATGTCAGCTTTCTGCGCTGATAATGCCTCTGTATAATTTGGCAAAAACCAAAGTGTATTTACCGAAATGAGGCAGCACAATAATGAATTAATACCAATTGACTGTATATGCCATATACTACATGATTCTTGCAAGAAAGCAATGAATGTACTATCTGTGGATGTCGAAATAATTATGATGAGATGTTTTAACAAATTTAATTCATCAACTAAAAGAGTTAATGAATTAAATGAGTTGGTGGAGTGGTCTGACTTGGAATGGTGTGAGTTGTTGCAATATGTACCTATCAGGTGCTTATCGTTAATACCTGCCATCGATAGAATTTTAAAATTTTACAAACCCTTAAAAAAATATTTTTTAAATAAAGATTTTAAAAGCTGTCCTAAAATTTTGAAAATTTTTTTCAACTATGAAATGGCAGAAGCATTGAGATTAGTTTCACATGTAGGAAATCTATTTCATGAAGTTAATATTCAGTTGCAATTAGAATATTCTTTATTAATAAAGATTCACAAAATCATGCTACAGCTCTGTTCATCTCTACAGTTAAAAATTTATAATAAATTTTATGAAGCTATTGCTAAAAATATTAAATGTTCAAATAATACTCTAATTAATACATTTTTAAATGAAGCAGATATTTTTATTAAGACAATCTTAGAATATTTACGATCAAAATTTGATTTTAATAACTCTATTTACAAATGTATAAATATTATGACCTTGGAACAGAAACCGTCAATTGATGATTTATGTAATTTAATAAATATATTAAAAATACCAAAAGACAATGATGTCTTGTTTGAGGAGTTGTAATTCTCTCTATTTTTTATGATTCGCCAGAATACTTAAAGTTAGATTGTCTAAAAGCAGAGGAGAAACGGGTAGAATTTTTTCGTAATAACAATAAATCCCCATGCTTGGAAAAAAATCAAGAGTATGTCTTCTTTACCTCATTCTAAAGGCTCATCCGAGCGCATTTTTAGTCTGATGAGGACTGCCTGTAAAAAGGATTGCTTTAACAACATTAGAGGCCGAGCTAATGGTTAAACAAATTTTTAATATGTCATACCAGGAATTTTATTTCCATTATTTAAATCTTAAATAATATATAATTAACATTATATTTAATTTTCCATATTTTTTTATTTATACATTCGCATAAAATAAATATATTTTTTACATTGTAAATCTAAAATAGAGAGCATTACAATATCCTCAAACAAGACATCAATGTCTATCGGTATTTTTAAAATATTTGAACATTTTAATTAAGTTTTAGCAATGGCGCCATAAAATTTATTGTCAATTTTTAACTGTAAAGATTAACATATCTGCAGCATAATTTTGTGAATCTTTGTTAAGATTCTTCTGATTGCAACTGCACATTAACAGTATGTAGTAGATTTCCTACATGTGAAATCATTCCTAAATATACCTCTGCCATTCATTACTGAAATTTTTTTTTTAAATGTTAGGACAGCTTTTATAATCTTTATTTAAGAAATATTTAAAGGTTTATAAAATTTAGATTCTATAGATGGCGGGTATTAGGAACATATCGACCAACATTGTGCTGACTCAATTCTGTAAATACACTCTGGTTTTTTCCAAATTCACTGAAGCATTATCAGATCAGAAAGTTGACATGTAATTTATTGATAATCCCGAATCTGCTATATTTACCATTATATGGTTAGCTATGTCTTTGGATTTTTCACTATTTGAGGGGGAAAAATTTAATAGTTTTTTTTGTAACGTCCTTAATTTTGTTGAAATAGCGAAGGATCAAAAGAAATATTTTAATATTTCCCTTATTAGATGCATCTGTTAGAATTGCATATGTATGCCCATCTTTGAAATCGTCAAGAATTGACCTCCTGAATTCAGGTTCTAAAACATTGATGATATCCTTGCTCATTTTTGTTCTACATACAAGTAAAGTTTTCATTTATCTCGGAGTCGTTAAATATTATGGGGAAAGATTTCTACCTACATTGTAATGATAAGTAGGTCTGTGAATGTTGTACTACAAGATAAGTGATTACAATTGCTGCAACCGTAGTTGCATCTGTATTATTTCTTATTTTTGGAGAATATTTTTGTTTTGCAATGGATGTAGATACACTCTCCTGCACTGATTATAATAATGTAATTGAACAATAATAAATAAAATAATTATCATTGAAATGAGTACAATATTACCTTATTATATATTTAAACGTGATACGTGATAATTAAGCGCCTATCCCTATAATTTTATACACACACAAGTTAGATTTCCAATTGCAGATGTTTTGCGGGACATTCGCATATAATATATTTTTTACATTGTAAAATTAAAATCGTTAGTTTTTTTTATAAAATTTTATCTTGTTTACATTCTTTTTTATAAATTAATATATTTTAATAAATCAAGATGTTATTTTATTTTGAAAAATAGTTACCGAATTTGTATTTACATAAACTAATTATAAAAAATAATAGGCGGATAATTAAATCAATTCAAAATCCCGGCACGGCCGAGATTTTGCGGGCCTTTCTTAGCAATTTTTTTATTTCTACCGCAATTTTTATATTTATCCCGCAAAATACCAAATTTCTCCCGCATTATGAAAATTTTGACCTGGCAACCCTGATTATGATGTGTATTACTAATAATTAATGTAATATATCATTTATAATTTAGGCAATATTTAATTTGTATTAAAAAAAAATATATATCTAATACATATTGATAAAATGATTTCTTATAGGAAATTTTTTTTCTTAACGTTTACAATTTACAATAAAAGGTATAAGCTATATAAAAATATAATATCTATATTATTTATTTTAAAAAAAAGGTAATAAAGCTTATTTTCACTATGTTCTATCTATAGGGGCCTTCTTTTCCATTTTTGCGGGGGTTATACACTTAACACCCCTATTCTTAGGGAAATTTATAAATTATTCTCTTGCTGAGTATTATCAGCAATATAAGATTTGCAATCTAATTTTTAAATAGTTAAACTTTTCAAAAGGGGGTATATCATTAAATTATTTTTCTGGCATCTCTTTCATTTATACTGTAATGTATTTTTTAAAAAAGCGAAGGTTCAACCAATCACATTGATGAATTCTAAATTATAAATAAAGATAATTAAAATGATTTAAATTATATTTATTTCTTAAGATTTTAAAATAAAATATAAGAATGTACAATAGCTATAACAAATTATCCAGATTTTTATAAAAGTTGCATCGCAACCGATAGTTACTCAAAATTATATACTATAACAGCAGTGATTATAATAAGTTTCTTTGCAATTTCGTTAAGAATTTAATGATTGACATAGTTTATTTCGAACAAATGACATAACGAATGACGAATCACATATATTTTCTGGTAATATCTTTTATTGATGTTAAAATATTTCAATCCTAATGTACTTATCTAATAATTAGACTTGAATTTTAATATGAAACTTTTTTATAAATTTGCAACATTAATAAGGTTATATTTATTATAGCAAAACTAGATATCAATTTGAAGGAAGTGATATATTACCAAATAACCTCCCTTGTTTTCATAAAGCACTATATTTTTATATATAAATGCATATGACACATTGTTTAGGTATTACTTTATATTGTTTATGCAATGATATAAAAAAAGTAACTGAACTTTGATTCAGAAGTCAAACTAATTTATAGATAAATTTATAAAAAAATATAATATTTGCTAATTATCTTATAGTATCTCAAATTTTTATAATTATAAAATTCCACAAAAAATTAATTTATGATATATAACATTTATAATAAAAGGATGGGAATCAATAGGCCAAATCTGGGTTTCTTTCTAACAAATTTAATCATATACTCAAATTAGATTCAACAAAATATTCTCTTTTAAGTTCTCAATTTTAAAATCAAATCAACAAAAAATTACTTTATTTATACTATAACTTTATATTTTTTAATTACTCTATTTTCTATCCCATGTTAATTAATGATAACAAATGTTCTAAACAATAAATTTTTATCTAAATAATTAATGAATATTTTTAAAATAAAAATCATCTTGCTCACTCTTTAACACATCTTTCCCTCTTTATTAAATAAGCTTGGTTCTATATACCTTATTTTATTCATATTTCTCAATTCTTTGTTTATCCTTAACTCACTTGAACTTGATTTATTTATATAAGAGTTTATCAAGTTTACTTTTTATCTTCTTGGTCAGAAACAAGCGCTTCCTTGAATGACAAAAGATGATTTATGGAACATTTTAATTCCTTGCACCATTTCATTCCTCATTTTCATGATGACATTAATTTTGATTATGTAATTTTGTCTGCTTTCCATAACTTTAATGATTTTCTTTTTCAACAGAATTACAAAATAGTGAAAACCAGGATTTCTCTATTATTTTCCCATCTTTCCTTCTTTTTTTTGCTGATCAAATGACTTCTCCAGAATCATGCCCTGATCTATGATTGTTAATTAACTCAGATTTACATTCTAAAAATAAATTTTTAACAAAATAAATAACATATAATATATATAATTTAAATAGGAACAAATAATTATAATATATTTTTGTAATAAAAGTTTGAGATACTTATAAAAAAACAGACATGGATTATTTTAAAATCCAAAAAAATAATTAAAATATTACAATATGTTGGATCTCAATAAAATAATTAACTATCATTCAATTAAAAAAATTGCAATATTATTTATGATAATTATTATGACTACTTTTTTTATAAGTTGACAATTTTATATAATGAAAATAAACCAACAGCTGAAAATGTATTGAGAATAGTGTTGTAAACGGCTCATTTTGAGCCAATTTTTAACAGCTAACTCATATCCAGAACAATATTGCCTAAGCCTCAAGATTTCACTAATTGATATCTAGACCTTTGTGCCATCTACAAGCAAAATCTTCAGGCTTGCATAATATTATTCTGGATAAAATATTGAGTTAGTCATATTTTTAAAAATTGGCTCAAATTGAGCCTTTTAACAACTCTAATTGAGAATGAGTTGGAATTTACCTGATCATTTAAGTTTTTTCTTCTAGTCAAATGGAGGGGTTAGGCATTTCATCTCAAATCAATTACCACACAGACCTACCTCAATTTTGGGAAAAATTGTTGGTACCAAAGTTTAAATCTGCAATGGTGGTTTTTTTTCATGCTCTATAAGTTTTAAAAGTCTTATTAAAAATTATAATGATGTAGAATATGAATTTAAATATTCTGAAAATGGATAATTTAAATATAGGCTTGCACTTTTTCACACACATTATAACAATTTTTTTTTCTAAAAATTCCTTTAATTTTGGATTTTAATCTAGCATCTATCTCAAGAATGTTGATATAGTTATCAGTATTAAAAATTTTATGACTTTCATGGGTTTTGTTTTTTAACAAGATTGATTGGGGTATTATAAAAAATTCAAATATTTTGTATGTTATTAAATATATAAAAACAAATTTGAAATTAGATTAACTATAAAAAAAGATTCTAAATCTTCAATTTTTTTTAACCTTTTATAATGATTTTTTCTTTTCATTGATTATAAGAAAACAGAAGAAAAAAATTATTCCAATTCTCAACTTTATGCATCCTTTAATTCATGATTTATTACTATTTTTATTTTATAAATTATTTTCTATCTATATCACCTGATAATAAAAATATTAAGGGAATTTTTGCTAAGATTTTTTTATCAATGATCATTTCCTTAAAAATAAACTTATATTCTGATATAATAAACATAGCTATTTAGTACTATTCACAGAGGAAATAAAACCTGGCAGAATCATTTGTTTTTTTAACATTAATAAAATTTAAAATATTTAAATTTTTTATAATGTCCAAAAAACAATACCCAATATGAATATATAATAATTCTTATGACTGATAATTATATCAACGAATAGATGCAAAATAAAATCCAAAATTGAAGAAATTTTTAAAAATAAATAATATTATTATATGTTAGAATAAACACAAGCCTATAATTATAGTATCCGAATTGGGATATGATATGATATGTGAGAATATTTTCATTGAGATTCTAATAATTTAATTTTAATATTCGTAATTCAATTGAGATAGTAAAAAAATATTTGAATATTATTCTAATAAAATTTTTTTAAATTTTTTCATATACATTTGTAGTTATTCATGATTATTTTTTATTTTGGGTTTGGACTAGAAATTAATTTTTTCCATGATAGGCTATTTTTATTATCTATTTGAATTTAATAAGTGATGATCAATAAATCATGGTTTGATTGTAATTTTGTTCATATTCGATATTTTTTATAACATAAAAAAATATCTTTTTTATATTTTTATTTGGAGTTGGGTAGTGAATATTGGTTTAATTATGTTAAGGTTGGAAATTGTAGGAAAAAAATCTGGTTAGGTTAAATCTGAAAAATGTTTTGCTTCCTGCACAAACTGTTATAATAATTTTAAAGAAAAAGAAACCTTCTTAGATTTTTAAAATTATATTTACATATAACATTATTTAAAAAATAAATGGTTATGTTACTTAATTTGTTATTTACACTTGGTACAAAATCGACCCTTTTTTATAACCCCTTTCTCTAATAAATTAAGTCAATTCAAATTTTATATTTATAACAGTCTATAATTGATAATTAGAAGGAAAAATCTAATGTATAATTAAAAGTTTAAAATTGGATCTCAATTTTTTTTGCTGCTCATTTACAATTTTTGTAATGATTTTTTTCAATTAGTGTGGCTGCTTTATTTTCTCAGAAATATATATTACAGATGATGCTTGAAAAAAAATTTAAAGATGGTCATGGTGTTATATATATCAACATTTCAATACAATAAAAATCTCCCATTGTTTAAAGCCATTTTAAAACATTATAATTAATTTATGAGTATTATCATGCATATTGATATTAAAAAAAATTAGGCCATCTAAACAAGTCCCTTTTTGCAGTTTTCTAGTGTTTCCAGCAATTTTTTATAAAAATTTCCAAATAAAGGATGTTAAGTTAATTTTTGCATAATATCTATGCCACTATTTAATTGATTGATGGTAGAGATCTGCAATGGGCGGCCCGGTATCCCGCACATGGGTCAGACTGGGCCAGGTAACGTATTTGGATCGAACTTGCAATAATTAGCCCCCAGCGCTCTTAGTAGAGAATTGAAAAATATTCTAAAGCTTAATTTAGTTAAAATAATATGTTATGTTTTATTTTGCTTATAATTTTAATGACTAAATGACCCAGATTGATCATTCATTCATGAATACAATTTCTTTTTCATACATTTTGTGTTAATTGCTAAAAAAATCGCAAAACCGAAATCATCATCTATCATTATTTTTCCACCTGTTATATTAATTTCAAAAAACCAGGCCGGGAAACCTTAGTAAAAAATTGAAACTAGCCGGGCTTGAATATTTGCTCTTGGTCGACCTCTAATAGTTAATAAAAAAATGGTGATTAATATATTTAAACGACTGAATGTATTGCTGTAGTTTTTAAAAATATTTTATAATGCAAAAAAAAATACACTTCGACAAATTACTATCTTATTTTGTTTGGAAATAAACATTGCAAAACGAGTGTTTGGAAGTGGCTTTTGGCATATTTTATGAATAAAGCTTCTCCCTTTAAAGCGGATTTCCAGGTTTACCCGGGTGAAAGTATTTTCCCTCTCAACTCTCTTCTCCATTTTTTTACGGACCAGGGAATCGCTATTATAAGATTTACTTTTCTCATGTTATTCTTTATCACCTTCATCCACGTCATCTTGAGTCTTCCTCGATCTTCTTACTTATATTAAGGAGCACTCTTTACCCTCTTTCATAACATGCCCAATTTATTCTCGTTCTCACTCCAATCGCTTCTATTCCAATTTTTTTTACAATTCCTTGCTTGTTTTTCTCTATCTCAGAGATGCCCCACAAATCCATCTAATCATTCTCATCCACATTATTTTGCTTCGCCACATTTAGCTCATGTTTCACCTCTATAGACTGCAATTTCTCACACAGCTTACTTAAACCTTTCCCGTCAACTTCGGAGAAATTTATTTGTTAGAATAGTCCATATCTCCCGGAACTTCTTCCAAGCATATTTGATCCATGAAACGACTGCATAATCCACCTCCATATACATTTAACATGGAACCCAAATAACAAATCTTTCCCACTTTTTTCCAAGGTTGGTCGTTATCAATATCCAATCAACTTTCTCTAAGTTATCATAATTATGGTCAGATTTAAAGCTAGCTTCAGATTATTTTTTATCACTATATCCTTTATGAATAAATTTTATTAAAAATTTTTTTTACACAAATTACTTTTTAATCAATTATATTTCCTTTAAAATGATTTTAAACTATAATTTTTTTTATATGTTCGTGCATGTGCCGATATTAAATATCAGAACTGGATAATAATTACCGGTTTTAAAACGGATTTGGCTGTTTTAAAAAAACCGATTCGATCATATATTATTGTTTTGGGTTATTTTATTAATTGTACATATAATTACAAAATATATTTTTTTAATTTTATACATAATTATAACCTTTATGGTAATAAAAAATTAAATACACTTAATCATTCTTGATAACATGCCAAATTTCGCCTTGGTCACGAGAACGGAGAACCTTAAAGTTTTTCTTGTTTCGCCCATAGTTTTGTAGTTATTTTTTAGAAATTATTAATTTTTCATGAAATTGGTTAACAAAGACAATCTAGAAATCGGATCAATCGTATGAATATAGGAAATATCGAATGGTATTAATGTAATTCTTTTTATATCGGCACGGCCATATTTTATTTCATTGATTAATTATTGAAATTATTAGAAAAATAGCAAACGAGCAGTATGAAAAATATTTGAAAAAAATTTGAGCTCCTAATCATTTTAAGAATTTAATCTTCAATTATAAACTGGATATAAAAAAATTTGTTTTTTCCCCTAATCTTCAATCCTTTATCGTTTGACAGCGAGAAGGTATAAAAAAGGTGAATTTAATTCACATTACCTCATTATAATTACGAGCCAAAATTTTTTTAATAACTAGGACATGACGCGCCTAAAATTTTTTCGAAGCCGAGTATCACAATTTTCTTGCTCATTTGTAATAGAATGGCTAATTAAACTGCCTAAATTTTCGATGAAAGAGTATTGCAGTAAGGACTTCATATTTTTATTTTATGTTAGATATGCTCTCAGTTAGAAACCTAGACATACTACAATAAATCGAGGTCAACAAATGAATGACTTGCTTATTATCAATGCCTTGTACATATAGATATATTCACTCATACGAACAACTTTTTAAAGTCTGTTATAATTAATTTTAATGCGAACCACCTCCTTTTTTACTGTTTTGCGCCAGCGACTTACCACCCTCTCTTCAATATCTTTTTCCCTTCATTCATCTTTTGATTCCTTCTTAAATTGTGGCCCCGTTACTCGAACACTTATTTTACTCCTACTACTGGGACATGCTTGCACCTATTACCGGCCTCTATACGAATCATTATCACTGACACCTGTCCTCTCTGCCCGTGTTTACGCATTCATAACACATTCCCTCATAGAACCTAGATTTTTCTTACTTTTTCTCGATGCACTTGCTTTATGGGTTTCGGGTAAATTGGTGGAGCCCGTATGGGGTTCAGCTCGACTATTAATATTTTATTTCGCAGTCTCAGTGCTTACTAGCATGATAACAGGCGCTCTTAACCTCCTGGCATATGGACTTGTGTACAAAGACGTAAGCCTTCTTTTTAACATCAGGATAACTGGTCTTGCTGCCTTTTTGGCCGGTCTTTCTGTTGCCGTTAAACAGATAATGCCAGCTCATGTATTGATACCCCTAAAGATTAATAGCAGCAGTAGTGGAAACTTCATTAGGAATGCTCATCTTCCCCTATTATTACTCTGTATTACTTTACTGCTAAAATTAGCCGGAGTTTTTAGATATCGGACTGGCCTTGACGAAAAAGATGGGGGCGCCATTCTTGTACGGTACGAAACTTGCCCTTATCCTTGTATGTTCGGTGTGGGATTATTGATTAGCTGGATTTATTTGAGGTTTTGGCAGAAACATGGCAATGGAACTAGAGGCGACTCCGAAGAAGCATTTTCTTTTGCTAGGTTATTACTCATTTTTTTAAAAAAAATAAAAATTGTTTGTAAGAGGGAATTTTTTTTTTAATTAAAGCAATTATTTTACATTAAATAAATTTAATCGGATGTAATTTTTAGTTTCTTTATTTATCTAACATTGATGTTTCTAGAGCCCTATACGGATATTGAGTTTTAAATTTTATGCTCAACCGATGGCCCGAACTATTATTTTATAGGCTTCCATTCGAATTAAAAAATTTAAGTTAAATTTTTTAGGAAATCGAGAAAATATAAGCACTTATTCGATTTGAGAGAACCTTTGTTGGATTTTAAAATATCCGGCCAGAACATCTATCTAAGTCATCGAGTCCTATCATACAGGGCTCTAATATATATGTGACTCTTCAAATTTTAATTTCGAAATTTTAACATTTTTTTTAGCTTTTTTCCTACCTTCATTCAACCTCCTATCGTTATATTCAGCAATTTAATATATGGGTTATTTGTTAAACTACGATTATGTAAAAAGATCAACGTGATTAGGAAAATCAATGATGCATCATCAGCCTCGATTGTTATAAATTTACCAGGAATCGATACCCACGACGCGGAAAGGAGAAGGTTTGATATATTTCAGATAATTGTTCTAAATTATATCTCCAAGCTGAGATTTTCAAAGCGTATATAATTTTAAATAAATATTATATCTCTTATAAAACATAAAATATTTTTTGGTGTTATTTATTTTTGAAAAGTTATTGCAAAGAGATCTACAAATCACGGCGGTTAAAAAATTTAAATATATTACATTTTGTCAAATAAATAGATATATTTAAAAATTCTTACAAGAAACTAGGCGCTAATATTTTTTATAAAAATTTTTTTTTTTTACAATTATTAAATTTTTCTATATTTAAATAAATTCGGGTCGGGCATTTTGAGACAATAAAAAAAATTTGTTCATGATTGTGGCGGGCGGGATTTTTTTTTTAAAAGTATTTTTTGGGCCGGGCTTGAAAAATTAGGCCCAATGCAGGTTAGTAATTGTAATAGCTAAGTTTATAGATACATTTTTTAAAAACTTTTTTTTATAATTAAATTATCCTTTATTATAAAAAATATATTTTTTAAATATTTCAAAGGCCGCTTCCCACGGCATACAAACATGAATAATTTAATTTCTAAAGCTCTTAAAAGGGCCAGCATCCCGAATACTCTAGAGCCTAATCACTTATGCCCAAGCAACAAAAAACCCGGGCCTTTCAGTAGCTTGGGATTATTCGATTTTTCGGCACGTTCCAATAGAAATGCTCAGCACTTAATTCCGTTAAGACATCATAACTATCCCACTTAATATCCTTGGGAGAAAATTAAGCGAGTTCTACAGACTTGTTAGACGAGAAAAAAGCCAATAGATTATGATAATTTTGATATAAAATTTTCTGTACTTTAAAGTTAAACCATTTTTCTTTTTTGACAAGGAGATAATATAATTTGATAAAGTTGATTGTGGTGCCTCATGTTGAAAATTAAATTATCCACGACGAGATAAAAAGAGAGGATAATTACATTTTCTTAAACGTCAGGAAACCTAGAAATAAAAATGGTAGATTACTTATAATCTATTTAATTTGTTAATTTATAAAACCTTTCTAAATTACCAGCATTAATTCTTCCTTCAAAGACTTACAAGTTGCAACTAGTATTGTTAATTATTATTAGATTTAAAGATAAAAAATCTAGTTAGGCGAATATCATTATTCAACAAATTAACAAGCATGAAAATAATTTTTAAAAATTATGCATTAAAGATGTTTTGATTACATATTCTTAAATACTGCGAAAGATAAGACATCCAAATTTTAGAGACAGAGCAACTAGAGAATAGAAACTCATTCAAATGAATATTTTTACAAATATATTATAATTCAAATGAGGTATCAAAAAATGAGAGTAACACATATTAGTCTCATCTCAGATATTTTTCAACGATGAATTAATATTTGACTTTTGTGGATTTATGAATTATAGACCATTTGAATTAGAATGTAACAATAAATTATTTAATTATACTTTAGTATTTATATGAATCTCTTTTAAAAAAATAATATTTAGCCAGTTGCGAGGAAAATAACAGAAAGTATTATTAGAGCTTAAAGAAATTAGGACAGTTTTAAATAGAATGTAGCAATTAATTATTTAATTTACTTGTATTTTTATGCAATCTTTAAAAAAAAATGATATTGGGCTAGTTGCCATGAAAATTGCAGAAAGTATTTATTAGAGCTTAAAGGAATTAGGGTAGAAGAATATTATATGATAAATTTCTCAAATAAAGTACTCTTGATTTATCATCTTACATAACTAAAATTATTTTCTATATATTAAAATTATATATTTTGCCCACTATATCCATTAGCGCCTGCACAAACAAAACATTTTTTATGGAAAATCTTATATAGGAAGTACTACCACAGAAAATAATATATTATGGTACTTCTTCTAAATTAGCATAAATATTAGGGATGTACCGATATTTTTTATCGGATTGGATCGGGCCGATATTTCACCTATTATAAAATATCGGTTATCGGCCAATATTATAAAATTTGCCGATCCGATATAAAATGGCGTCTTAACAAAAATAAAATGTTATAAATTTTTTAAAAAAGGTTATATCTAAAATCATTTATTTTTATAAATAAAATCGAAATCTATATTTTTATAAATAAAATCGAAATCTATATTTTTTTAATAATAACACTGTGTGACAAGAAATATGGGAGAAGAAAATAAATACAAGTTTTGGTGCAGAATTTGACGCTGAGTTCTAATCCGTTTTCCCTACACGTCAAGTTTTAAAAATATTACCGTATAAAAACAACTTTTCGAAATCTCAAAAATGGTAAAATTTAGGTCTTTATACGGATATATTTTAAAAAGTATCGAATAAAAATCCCTGAAAATTGGTGATAGTGTTAAACTTATATTTCTTTATAAATTTACTAATTTTTATAGATGGTTTTTGAGAAAAATGGTAAAGAATTTTGTTTTGGGGGTCTTAAGTTTTCAATTTAAATTACTATCAAAATGATTAACTTTAGAAGATAAATTTTATATAATTTTGCTTCAAATATGCTCAAGATTATATATTAATTCTAATTATGTTTCAAAAGTACTCTATGCCATGAAAATTCAACCAAAATCTATAAATTAAAAAAGTCGGTACAGATATTTTCGAACTTTTTAATTTATACACTTTTATTGAATTTTCTCTGCATAAAGCATTTTTAAAGCAAAATTAAGGTAATATTTATCTTTTTTAGTTGTATTTAGTAATATATTATGCATTTATGATCAATTTATACCAAAATCAGATATCTGTACCCACTTTTTTTAATTTGTACTCTTTTTGAATTGAGCATTTTTGAAGCAAAATTCATTTAAAATGCAATAATTGGTAATTTTTCATATTTTATTAATATTTATCTTTTTTAGATGTATTTAATATTTGTTTTTTAATCAATTTATATCAAAATATATGATTTTCCAATGGAGTACCTTGAACCAGTAGTATGGGCAATAAATAATAATGCCAAATAACGAGTAGGAAGAAAGGAGAAGAATTATTTTTTTTCGCGCTTAATTTTTCATAAATTTTTTTTTAAAATAAATATTTTAAATGTAAGCTATATTAAAAAAGATTTTATAAATAAAGGTAAATTTAAAAAATATAGGTTGTTTAAAAATTGAGTAAGGTTTTATAAAAAAAAATGTATAATAATAATAAGGAAGGTTTGCTGCAAAAATTAAGATATTTTTTTAGTTGTAGGGATAGTGATGTTAAATGGCTCGTTTTGAGCCGATTTATAAAAACGGCTAACTCGATATTTTAGCCGGATAAATATTTGCTAAGCCTCATGATTTCGCTAATAGATGTCCAAACCTTTGTTCCTTCTACAAACAAAATCTTCATGCTTGCGTAATATTATTCTGGATGAAATATTGATTTAGCCGTTTTTAAAAATCGGCTCAAAACGAGCCGTTTAACAACACTATGTAGGGATCATTAGAACCAAAGTTATAAACCTTCAAAAAGTGCTAAAAATGACCTTTTTGGCCACTTTAACCTTAAATAAAAAACCTGACGTGCTAGAAAAAAACTGACAGCGGATTTAGAATATGCATAAAAAACTGTCTTAAAACTTGTTTATTTTATTTTCTCCCAAAAAATCAAGTCGAAATTTGTCACACCGTGTAATTAATTAATAAACATTCTGCCATATTGTTATTTTTTTGCGCATTCTGTTTATAAAAGTGTGCGATAATCTCTTCAGAATCTGTTTTTAGTGAAGCTGGTGATATTGGGAGATCGGTACACCCCTAGTAAATATGAATTTCACACTATGATAAATGCTATATAAGATATTATTAGTTTGACAGATATAACATATTTTTTGTTATGTGGAATAAATGATTATAAAAGTTTACTTTACACACAAAATTAAAAAATTAGCTAAATCACAAAGGAGATCGCATATTTTTACGTAAATACCTTGCTGGTATTTATTGTATAAAATATTGTTATGTATTAATCTAAAGATTTCAAATGTCTTAAAAATGGGGTTCGGTTCAGATATGCTGAACCTGGGTCCACTATAAACAAATATCAATCGAATGAAATATAGGTAAAAAACAGTCATCAAGTAAGGACAATTATATATTAATGCATTAGAAGTAGTAATGTAAACATAGTTTAAATACCCTGGAAAATGATTTATTTTAAATTTTAAATAACTTTTTCCTAGTGGGACTCCCAATTTCATTTTTACTTATCAACTTACTACTATATATTTTCTCGGTTATTTAAGTTCGTTATATTGTAAAATATGTTAAAATTGAATTCACATTTTTTAATATTATACATTAGTCTATTTCATGCTTATGAATTTATACATTCTTAGTTGCGTAAGTAAACTAGGAGCAGACCATTAGCAAATTATAGCTAATAGATTTTGTTAATGTTAGACAGGACAAATTTGAAGCTTCTTATATAGGCGGAACGTAGCAAATTAGACTTAATTTGTGTGAATTTAGTGTGCATGTGGAATTAAAAAAAGGCGATTTATCATGCCAACTCATTTTTTAAATAATATAAAAGCTATTACCCCTTCTTTTTTTTTATAAGGAAAACTGTAATGAAAATACGACTTTAAAGTCGACCCAGCTGAGCAAATGCTGGCCAAAGGTCAGCAAAAAGTAGGCATGGGTGTGAAGTCCCCCTTCTTCATAAAATAGACCACTATAATTTGCCTGCAAGGTCACAACATTCAGTACCTAGTGTCTGCAAGACCCCTCGAAGCCCCGTACAATACGGAGTTTTTTGTGCCAAAATAAAAATTCCGGGCCTATTAGACTTTCTAACCAGGCTCGGACCAAATAATTGAATTTACAAGGCTATGTAATTATAAGTTAAAAAATAAATAAATTTTATTAATTAAATAATATATAACTGTTTAAGAATATGAAATCATACGAAAATATAGTGGCAGATTAAAAAAAAATTTTTATCAACAAAAGATACTTGTTATAGCCTTAAAAATGCCCAATTTGAACTGATCTAATATCAGATAAAAAAATCTGATTTTATTTACCAAATATAGTGGCAGATTTAAAAAAAATTTTTATCAACAAAAGATACTTGTTATAGCCTTAAAAATGCCCAATTTGAACTGATCTAATATCAGATAAAAAAATCTGATTTTATTTACCAGCTGTCAATTTTCGAAATTTATTATGCATATATGTAATTTAAAGGTGCAGGAGTGTATTCACGAATCAAAGATAATTTAAAATCCTTAAATTTACCATTTGTAAAATTAATTCTTATTTGCACTGCACATTAAAGCGTTACATGTCATTTTTTCGCCTAAAAATTAGATAATCTTGATTATCATAAAAAAAATGCTCTTTAATAACAATAAATTATCTGTGTTTAAATATAGGTTAAAAGCTTTGAAAGCTCTAAATGAACGAATGACGAAAACAAATCCCTCTGACCCCAATGCCAAATGGCCATCTTTAGACCACGAGAATCATCAAGCTATAGAAATGCAATCAATTATAAATCATATCGTTCAACCTTCCTCAGGTGAAAACGTCGAATCTACCCCAACTAATATAATCACATACACATCAACAAATGATTCTTGATTTTTTTATAAATGGTAATGGCATGTATATTTTTTGAAAGTGATATAAATTATATTTATTTATTATCACAATCATTTTACACTTTAAACGAATAAAAATTTGAAGAAGTATTTTTTTAAAATTAATAATATGTATTTATCAATGTAATCATAAACTACGAGATATAATATATATTTTATTCACGATTTTTTTACAAGCCATCTAATTAAATTCAATGTATTTATACAAGGAAATATTGTTTTTCCAATATCCACATTCATGGTAATAAGATGTTTACCTATAAACGTTTCATAAAATTATAAAAATTGAATTCAATTATACAAAATGGGACCTGATCACAGAATATTTTAGTCTTAAAATAATTGAGATTTAGAAATTAAATACAAAATAAGATCAGAATAAATTTAAAAATATGTTCTTCTAAAACAATTCGTTGTCCCTTTCTTTTGATGGGACTTCTATTATTCGTGGTTTGTCAATGACGCGAGCAGTTCTATTACCTTTTTCAACTATACCTATGATCCAAGCTGGAAAACCCTCCAATTTTTCTATGTCCTTACAAAATGTAGCAGCCTGTTCTCTAGGAAGCGTTATTAAAAGCCCACCTTGGTATTTAAAAATATATATTATAAATAATTAATATCCTACCTCACACTTAATTAGGAATTGATAGAGAAAAAAAGGCTTTTTATGATGAATAGTTTTTAACTCGCCTGAGAGACCTATTAAATGAAATCAAAAGGTAATGTCGTATTTACAACTATTTTAAAAGCCTTTTATAATTACAAGGGGAGAAGAATAAATTGCTTTACATTAAATTAATATATTAATTGATTTGATACTTCTGAACTAAATATTCTTTATTTCCAGTTTAAGAAGATTAAAAGAATAACAATAATTTTTTACTCTTTCAGCACTTTAATATTTTTCAAATAAAATAATTTGTTATAAATACGTTTCTATTGTGACTATATGATTGAATAAACATATATATAAATATATATTAACATGAATATATCATGACCCCATTAATTAAATTCAACTCCACAAAAATTTGAACGTGTAAATAGATGTGAGGGGTTTGGTTAATTTATGTATGTTGTTTTTGGTTTTTTTAAAAAAAAGACTTGAATGAGTGTAATTCCATGCCAATCGACCAATGATTCGGCCGACCATCTCAAAATGAATGAAACTTGGCATGTTAGTTATTTATGTTGTAAATGTTAATAAAATCCAAATTTTTGAGCGCCAGCTACCAGATCTAAAGATAGACACCTTCAAAGTCGAATTATCTCAATGCGTGACTTCATTAAATCTTATTTTTTTAAAAAATAGTTAAGATAGAGTGGGAAATAATATATCATTTTATATTGGAAAATATCGAAAAATTCTATGTTCGTGTTTCCGGTATAAATAAAAAATTAACATGATTAGGAAAGGAGTATCTGGGTGCTGATATTTTCTAAAAATGTTTAATATTTTCTACATAAAAAAAGATAATATAGATGGCGTTATAGGTATTATATTGGTATTAAAATTAAAAAAATCGAGGACATGTAAGGAAGCAGCCCATACAGATATGTATTAGGACGATATATTTTAAAATTTTATATACAAACAATTATAAAAAAACCTATTGTTTTAATCTTATCCTATTTTGCGTTATTAATAGAATTTCCTGAAGCGATAATTTGTAGGTATGTCCTGTCACTGTTATAGGATCTACTATCGCTATTTGATTAATGGGCAATCATATTCTTCAATTGTGGGGTAAAAGAAAGAGTCATGATCCATAGGGATGTAAGAAGGAAATATATATATCACTTCAGTAATTTCATTCTTTTTTAGTACTGTGGCTAACCGCCAAAAATCATCATAAACACATGTTACGAATTCTTTAATATTGGCAAAAGACAAATTATCAGCATTTGAGATATTAAACTCAAAGGAAATACAGCATGTATTTCTCGAGTTCCTGGAATGGAGTGAGCTAAATTGAATTTTTAACGTAGTTTAATCTCTTCTAAATTGTATTGTTCGTTAGTTATATATGTAAATTTTACTGATGGCATGTTTTGTTTGGCACACTGATATAAAACAAATGATGTTAAAATATGCCCAAAACGGGTGGGCTGAATGCTTGAACGTGCTGATTTTTTTAATGTTCCGCCAAGGCCGTCTGGACCTTCCATGAGATGCAGCTGAGAAAGTTGCTACACCAAAATCTGATTCATATAAACGAGATTTATAAAAAAATTTCTGTTTTTATATTGTGCAGGTGATCATCAAAGCAGTAATATATTTTATTTTTTTACTGAATTGATTGGTCAAAAATTTTCATTTTATTCTGGTATAAATGTACTGCAATAACATTATGTTGAAGTGACTGTTATTACTACATAATTAAGGTTTTCTATATTGCCATTATTATAATATGCTATCATAGAATGGATATTGGCCTTATTATTCTAGTGGAGTCCTTAAACAATGTCGTATTACAAAGGGATAATTTTCGAAGAATTTGGTTGTAAAAAATGTTTAGGTTTTGAAATACATGATGACTGATTGATAGCGATAAAGAAATGACAAAACATAGATGGAATTTTTACTAAAAAAAAATTAACAATTCTTGAGAAGATTTTTGTTATTGTTTCTAGATTATTTCTATCAATCAACATATACCCACTGTTTAAAAAATATATGATCTATGCCAATTTGGGCAAACATCATCTAAGTGTTCTTTAATTGAGAATGTGTCAAAACAATAGTTACAATCTCCTAAATAACAAATATGGAGTGCTGGATTGCATATTGCCTGGGCTAAAATATTTTTATAGTTATGTAATGGATATACTGGCATAGCTAATAGTTGCCAAATTAGCATCTACAAACATAAGTTTAAAATTTTAATGAATTACACAAACACACACTGTGTGTTCAACTGGATCCAGCCAGAAAAACAATTTTTTGGCCTTAAATCTATAAATTCCAATTTTTATCAGGTACCTATGTTTAAACGTTCATATAATTCTTTTAAATTGATCCTTTTTGAGACTGCTTCCTTTTCCCTTTGATCATTAGGATTTATTCCCAGGCATTGTGCGATTGACTTCACCAGAAGAGTAAAATTTTCTATAATATTCAAGGTTTTTAGATTAATTGTTCACCCAGGTTTTATATTGGGAGATGACATAAATCCATTTAATTCTATTAGTTTTTTCGATTTTCTCACCAAGTAATTAGTGGCTTTGAATTTCATTTCGAATTTTTAGAGGTCCAAGATGGGGGCAACATAGTAAGAAGTTGATATTTTTTTCCCTAAAAATAATTGCATAATTATGTTTTAAATTTTGAAAAAGTTATTCATTTTTATTACTTTGTATATCAAACTCAGGAAGGCTGCTTCTTTGTATTGGCTTAATGTTTTTGTTATTTTTTAGTTTTTCTTGTAGATATTTCTTTCTTTTTTATCTGGGATTGGCCCAATTCTTCTAGCATTTATTATATCCAAAGCTGAATTGGATGGGGCTGGTTTGGGCTCTTCATTTTCAGATATATCTTTAATGGATTTTATATTTATCAAATATAAGTGACATGATTGACCTATGGTTAATAGACCTTTGGATTTTTTAATCATGCTTGGTCCTAGTTTTATATATATTTAAAATAATCACGAGATCCAAAAATATTATATTAGTAAAAATCCACAATCTAAAATTAAAAGGTTTTAATCCATAATCTTACCTTTTGTATTTTTGAAATAGACTTATGGTCCTCTCTAAAGAATGGATTATTACAAAGTGAATTACATTAAATATATATTACAATTTTTGCTGCGTTAAATTTAAAAAAAAATTTTTAAGTTAAAAAAGAAATTTTTTTAAACCTTATGTTCTTTTCAATTATTGATTGAAAATTAAATCTCCTATTTATCAATATAAAAATGTAATAGAAAGAAAGGAATAAAAAATAAAATAATGATAAAATCTTTAATTTCAAATAATAACGATAGTAGATCCACAATAGTGAAAGGATATATCTACAAATTATGGCCTCAGGAATTTCGATTAATAAGCGCAAATAGAATACGATAAAAATATATGTATAATTGAATATAAAATTTTAAAAATGTTTATTTTATAACTTTCTAATAATAATCATATCTGTATGGGCTGCCTGCTTACATATCGCCAAGACTTCATATTGGTTATACTCATTTGATTTTTTTAAAATCCCAATACAATTCATATTAAAAATATTATATTATAAAGATTTTAAAATATAACGCCATTTATATCTTTTTTTAAAAAATATGATAAAAAATTTAAATAATTAAAAAAACAAAAAGAGTATACGAGATTTTTTATTAAATAGTTTAATATAAAAGCAAAAAACATTGTTAGAATATCACCACCCAAAAAACCCTTCTTAAATATGTTAATTTTTTTCGAAATTTAAAATTTTACAGGCTATAAAATGATATATAATTTGTAACTCTATCTTAAATATTTTTTTTAAAAAAACAAGATTTAATGAAATCATGCATTACGCGATTTTCGACTTTCAGGTGTATATTTTGGATCTTATAGCTAGCACTTTAAAATTTAAATTAAAATGTACAAAATAGATAACTATGATGCCAAGTTTCGTTCATTTTAAAGATGGTTGTCTGAAAATCTCGTTTTTTTGGTCGATTTGACATGGAATGACCCATGATGCTTTATTCATAAACAAAGGTATAAACAACAAAAAAATTGCATCTTCTAGAACCTTTTTTGTTTAATAAATATAAATTTTTTTTAATCATCTTATAAAAATCTCTTCACCTACCTATTGTTAAATAAAATTACAAAACTTTTTATTTAACAACACAGGCAAGAAATACTTTCATATTCTCAAAATTTAAATTCATTTTACCCCATAATCTATATTTGGTAGAATCAGATCTAGCCATGCACCTTCAAGAAGCTCCACCATCCCTTGATCATTGTTCCCAACTGTTTCAGATAAATACCTCCAACATAAATCTAATGAGTCAGGCTCTCTCATGAATTGTGCCCAACTGTGTTGTTACTTTCTCCCTCTCTGATAGATCAATGATTGACAATTCACTGGCTTCTTCCCCTATTGTTGTCATAGTTACAGGTTCCCCCTGGTTAGTTTTCTTGTGGCAGAACACATTCAATATAGATATCCAAATATTAAGGGAAACAACAATTGAATTGTTGGAGGATCTCCTATTTGGTTTATAACTGCTTACCACTCAAGACCAATGATAGAAGTAAGGGAGAACATGTCTGGACCAATGACACCAGAAGGAAGTCACCTGAGAGAAACTGCATTCAGGAAAAAGTCAGGATGAGGGCCATCATTGATTTATAGGAGAGGAAGGAAGTGGGTAATATAGTCATATCCAAATCAAGGGAGAGCCCAACATCCACCAGTTTGGGATGAGGTAATGGGATCTCAAGCAGTGGGGAACGATGTTCAGGAGATGGATGAGCCAAAAATTCTTGAAGGAGAAATATGAGACTATCACAATCTTATTCTAATAGAATTATGAATTTTGAGGATACAAAAGTGTGTATGTATTTTTTTATATACCCATGTTGTTGAAACCTATTTATAAAAAAATATTTTATATTTGAGTTTTCTTTAATAAAGGTTTGTTAATATTTAAGTGTAGAAAAAAGTTAAAATTTTTTTTTTAATCTTTAATTGTAATTTTTTTTATTGGGATAAAGTTAATTATCTAAAATTGGAAAAAAATATTTAGTTCAAACATAATAATATATATAAAAGCACATGAATATATAAAAACAATGGGATATCTAAACAAATATATTATTTTTAATATAAATACACAGAATTATTGGAGTATAGTCATTTTTTTAATGAATAACACATAATTTTTTGAGATGTACTTACTTGTTAGTGTCAAAACTGAAAGAAGCAATTAGAATAAAATCTGAAAAGGAGAGAACCAAACTATTATAAATTCCTTCGAACTAGTTTATAATGATTTTAAAAATTAGATATGTTGTATTCCATATCAAATCAATTGAAAATCAAACCTACCCTAGATTTTTTTAAAAAATTTGTAGTAAAAATATAAAATTTCAATTCCCAACTAAACTTACTTCATGAGATATAGCTATCTAAAAAGCAAAAATTTCAAAATACACATTTAACATAAGCTAATTACCCAAAACCGGAAATGGCTATTAAAAAATTGTTCCTTTTGTCAATAAATTGAAATTAATGCTAGAAAGGGTCTTTCCTTTTTAAAATAAAAAAAACTACTTTTTATAAAGTAAAATATATACCTGAGGTTTCTGGACTTTTCCCATGTAGCAAGCCAAAAATATTTCCACAAGCTTTGCTAACAGCAGCCATTTTAGCAATAATGGGCAAATTGTGAATAACAAAAGAAACTTCATGCTTTTGATGTCTAGCTAAATTTTCAGCATGACCCAACAAACCAAATCCTGTAATATCAGTTGCGCCATGGGCATTAAACTTATGCATTAATGTGGCAGCTTAATTAAATTTTTTAAGATATAAATCACAAAAAATATTAACTTTAAATGTTGTATGTTAAATAGCTCAATTTAAGTGGATGTAAAATAGTAGCTGATACATACTTTAGCCAGGAAAATATTGCCTAAGCTTCGAGATATCACTAATAGATGCCCAAGGCTCTGTTTTTTATATAAGCAAAACTGCAGGTTTGGGTAATATTTATTGAGCTATTTTATAAAATCAGCTTAAATAAAACTATTTAATATTAGTTATATATTGTATTATATGTTTTTTAATAATTATATATAAGCTTAATTATAAATAATTAATGATTAATATTTTAAAATAAAAAACTTTCTTTATATTTATTATCCTGCCATTAGTCTTAATGATGGGTAAAATCATTAACCTGTTTTATTGAGCCTGGCCATGCTAATCATTGCCCTATTATAAGCTTTATTAATGTCATCCTCTGTTGCAACCAATTTTATTCTATTCCACTTCTCAGGATTTTCCATCCATATGTGGCCATTTATGGCAATGTGAGTACCCAGAGGTTTTGTTAAGACTAAGACATCACCCACAACTGCATTGTCAGGACTAAAATAAATATATAAGTGTACAATCTATATACTAATTTACATAATAAAATCATTTGAGCCAATAACAGTTGATGCAACTCCACCTATGGTTAACCATGGGTTCCTGATTGTTTGTCCACCACTAACTCGTGATCCAGCTTCTTCAGCTAAATCCTAAATGCCTGGTATATATTGTTTTGCTTTTTATTTTACCTTAAATCCTTTCATCATAAGTGGAACAACTGCTTCAGTCTCAGCATCTGTCATCTTTGTTGATGTTGCTAATATCATAAGCATATTATCACAGTCAACAACACCCATAGCATATAAATCACTCAAAACATTTGCACATGCAATTCGACCCTAATAAAATTATAAATATAATAATTTGATATTAACCATCATATAAGGATCATCAACAACTGGATAAAAGAAATCAGTTGTTTGAACCAGTGAAAGCCCATGATGTCTAGAAAGGGGAGTAACACTAGCATCAAGACCAATGCCTATTAATAATTATAACTAAAATAATAATAAGCATACCGTATTTTGGTAGATTTAATTGCATGTATAATTGCTCCATGTGATCAGGTTCATTAGATATTAGTCCCTCAAGTAGCTTATCAAGCGTCTCCTGAGGAACTTTACACCCTCATCCTTTTAACTCTGCAAACTTTGTAAGTTTGAAAGTAGGATCTAAACCTAACGAAACCGGGTCAAACGGAGGTTGAATTACAATTGAAATTGTAGAATTTGGTTGATCACCATTCATTCCCTCCATATTTCAAAAAATAAAAATTATTTTATATGCACAAGAAAAATAAGTTTATAAATTTAAGCAGCTTACCAATGATTATATACCATAGACTTTCATTTGTATTAAATAATTTATCTAAATTCCTTTCTTACTCTCGTTCAGATCAAATTTTTAGTCAGAAGCCCTTTATATTTTCAAATTGATATACTATAATTAATTCATTAAATAAAAGTAGGATCTTGAGATAAAAGATATTGAGAATGTTGAGGGCAATAGAAGACTATAGAAAGCCAAGATAGACTAACGTAATAATCTGTATAGGTAACGGTCATAAATATCCACCATATTTTGTCGCATTACCTTTTTTTGAATAAGTAGATTCAAATATCCGAAATTAACCTAAAATATGTCCAATATACCTAACGTTTTTATATATTTTATATTCCAAATTATTCTAAAAGTAAGTGATATTTAGTATAACATTTCTGTTATAAATCTTTAACATACGCCTATGAGTTGGTATAATATATATTAAAATATAAGTAGTTTGTAATAATATCAAAAATATACTCGTATTAAAAATTTAACTCAAAACTGTTTTTCAAAGAAATAAAAAATAGCTTTCCTAAAAACACGTAAAAAAGAGAAGAAAATATATCTAATTACATCCATTGTGATATGAATAATAAGATGTTTTATTTTTAATAATATTTTAATAAATAGATGGCGTTAAAGAACTGAATGCAAATTGTTTATTATATTTATTATCAAAAGCATTTATTAGTAAAATTTATTAAATAACAACTCTAATATATTATATAACTGTCAAATACTTTTGTAAAAGTGGCATTTTATCTAATATTTTAAAACGAATTATATATAATAGAGGATATAAATCTATTAACTTTTTTTAAAAAACTATTATACTTATTTCGATCTTGAAAATATTTTTAGGTAGAGGCATGGTAATTAAATTTAAAAATGAATAATATAGTTGATTAGTGATTTTGAACTCGGCTAGTTATAATACTAAAGTTGTTAATTTTTAATTAATAAATGATTATATTTATTTAATTGCTGTTATATAATAATTTGAATAATAAAAGTCAATTAAGCTTCAACTATTAATGCTAAATTAATATTTAGTGAGTGATATTTATATTCTATATTTAACACAGTGATTGCAAGCTGACATAATAGAATTTATATGTATTAATCTAATCTAATAATTAAATGGTATTCATTTAATAAAAATTTAGGTAGTCTTATTAATTTTTAAATAATAAAAATAATTCTATATATTACTTAATAGAATTATTAAAATCGTTCAGGGGACAATCAAATAAATATATTTTTAGTTCAAGGGATATTAAAGAACCATTAAAAAAAATTTTGCTTCAGGGTACTATTCAAAATTTTCAGGGGGCTGGAGCCCTTGCGCGCCATTTTTGGATTTTAAAAAGGTAATTTTTTAAGCATATAATTGCATTTTCCTTAATTTGATGATAGATAAATAAATATAATAAAGAATGAAGCTATTTTTATTTAATCTTAATATGTATACTTAATAAGTTATCTGGGTTTTGAACCATGGCAATTATTTTTGCTAATAATTTTTTAAATAATCATTTTCAATGGGGTAAATATTACCACATTTTTGTGAGGCAATCAGGTTGGACCCATAATTGATTTCTATTTATGATAAATGATTCTTTGAGGTAAGTGTAAATTATATACAAAATTATAAGTGAGAGGTGAAAACCATTGTGTGATAAAAAAATTGTTAAAAGAATTGATAAATTTTTTATTTCATTATTAGATAAATTTTATATAACATCAAATTTTCCATAATATATTTGGCCTTTTTTCTAAATATTTATAGAAATCTTGGGAGAATGAACAGATAATCTATTCCTCTCATTTGATTATTGATTTAAGAAAAGATTTCAATTAAATGAATTGACAAAGTGATTCCATATACTGAAATATTGTTTATTTTTGTTAACAATAAATTAAATTTTTGGATATGGCTTGGTAATAATCTTTGAAACCTATGATGTGGTTTGGGTTTGGATTTCCATTAAACATAAACTGGGCCTGAAAATTATTTTTACTTATGACCTAGGCTGGATGAAGAAATCAATGCCAGTGAAGGTCTCTAATTTCAATGATTAAAATATATCATTTCTCAGACTTTATTTGAAGATAAATGAATGGGCAAATCACAAATATGCCTGTTTTCAATTATTTGCAAAATTTATTAGGATTGTTAATTTAAAGAAACTATGATTTCAAAGCATCATACATTTCTAAAAATTGTTGGACACTAAGAAATAAAGAAATCAATTGTGAAGTGTATAATGGAGGAAATATTGATCCATGATTGTTTTGGCATAAATAACAAAAAATATTATATTTTTTGTGACCATGCATTAAGCTTACATATAATATAATAGGAATCTTTTAAGAAAACATTATCAAAAATATAAGTTAATAGCTGATAGTCCATTATGAATGACTGGTAATCAGAATTTTCTTCTTTATTCAATGATGGGTGCATAATAAATTTCCTTTATATGATGATGATTGAATCAGTAAATTTTTCATTATTTTTATAAAATATGTTAATAGAGTGTATATTTATGAATTTTAATTTAAAAACAATAAGGGTCTAGAATATATTTTTTTGATTATAAATTACAAATACAAATGAATAAGAATTTATTTTAAAAGATTTTAATATATTTTTTAGATTAAAAATATAATACAAATGAATAAAAATTTATTGTGCACATATATTAAAATATCTAAATATATATTTCTTTAATATATTTTGTAAAACCACTGGAAAATTTTAAAATTACACCCTCATTTAAACAAATATAAATTTAATTTCTGAATCACACCTCATAAGATAGGAGAATTTTAAGATTCAGCCATCCACCGTCAAATAAAGGATAAAATTATGATTCTCCATCATTCTTGATGGCCATCAGTGAGTAAAAAAATATTATCTAAATATTTATTTCATTTTTATTCTAGATGCCAAGTAACAAAACAATATATAAAGTCAAATGTGACTATATTAATTGTAAAACTTCTAAAATAAGAAGTGACAAAATAAATAACCATTATAAACATAAACATCCTCATGTCAAGTTATCTGATATCAAATTTACAAAGATAGCTATCAAAAAGGATAATAATTGGGTATCCTTAAATAAAGATATTCCATTCAATATCACAAATGGGGTTGAAACCAAGTTACAAAAAAAATCAATAACATCTTACTTCCAAAAAGTAATTTTTTATATATATTATTTTAATTCATGACAATAAATATAAGTAAAAATAACCTTAAATTTTGTGAATTAGTAGAAACCAATTCTTCATCTATAATTTGAGCATAATACTTTTAATTTTTATTAAAGATAAGATTTTTAATATATAGGTACATTTTTATTATGCCCTTTATCAATTTTGAAGGAAATAAATTATAAGAATATTTAAATATTTCAACTTTTGTTAAAAAAAAATTTATATATTATAATTAAGAATAAAATAAGTCATTTGCCTAAAATTTTCACTACTCTTTATTTAATAATTAGCACAAATCTTTTATTGAAGATTCCCAAATTATATTATCTCATACAATGCCCAGTTCCAGTGATCTGCTGATTTTGAATAATGAGGTACTTAATTTAAATAAGATTTGTTTTATAATTTTGAAGGGAATAAATGAGGATATTCAGATATTTTCATGAACAAATTTTAATTAATCTTTATTTAATAATTAGCTCAAATCTTTTACTGAAGATTCCCAAATTATATTATCTCATACAATGCCCAGTTCCAGTGATCTGGTGATTTTGAATGATGAGGTACTTAATTTAAATAAGATTTGTTTGATAATTCTGAAGTGAATAAATTATGAAATATTTTCCACTTTTCTATATCTTAATTAAGAATAAAATTTTTATTAAAATTAAGATTTTCATAAGTAAACAAATTTTAACCACTCTTTATTTAATAATTAGCATGAATCTTTTATTGAAGATTCCCAAATTATATTATCTTCTCATACAATGCCCAGTTCCAGTGATCTGCTGATTTTGAATAATGAGGTACTTAATTTAAATAAGATTTCTTTTATAATTTTGAAGGGAATAAATGAGGATATTCAGATATTTTCATGAATAAACAAATTTTAATTATTCTTTATTTAATAAGTAGCACAAATCTTTTACTGAAGATTCCCAAATTATATTATCTCATACAATGCCCAGTTCCAGTGATCTGGTGATTTTGAATGATGAGGTACTTAATTTAAATAAGATTTGTTTGATAATTCTGAAGTGAATAAATTATGAAATATTTTCCACTTTTCTATATCTTAATTAAGAATAAAATTTTTATTAAAATTAAGATTTTCATAAGTAAACAAATTTTAACCACTCTTTATTTAATAATTAGCATGAATCTTTTATTGAAGATTCCCAAATTATATTATCTTCTCATACAATGCCCAGTTCCAGTGATCTGCTGATTTTGAATAATGAGGTACTTAATTTAAATAAGATTTCTTTTATAATTTTGAAGGGAATAAATGAGGATATTCAGATATTTTCATGAATAAACAAATTTTAATTATTCTTTATTTAATAATTAGCACAAATCTTTTACTGAAGATTCCCAAATTATATTATCTTCTCATACAATGCCCAGTTCCAGTGATCTGCTGATTTTGAATGATGAGGTATTTAATTTAAATAAAACTATACACTCTTTAATAATAATTAGCAAACACACAAAGTTATTGAAAATTCCCCAATTATATCTTTTTTTCATCCAATTATCAATCCCAATGCAAGCCAAAATATTTCAAACATTAAAGGCCCAAATATTATTCAATTATATAAAAAAAAGGAGCCTAATGACCCTTTTCATTTCATATTCTTTAGAATGACAAATATCTTGATTAATTTCATAATTTCCATAGGCCCATGTCAGCCATGTTCAAATATATTTCAATATCCTGTTACTCACAAAAGGTTTTTAAAAAATTTAATTTTTATTAATTTTTACGCATCCATTATTTCTACTTTTAAATAGGAGCATGAATATATCCTATTATAAAAAGGTTAATATTGATGGTTCCCTCAAACCAAGAAATTGGTTATCCTATAGCACCACTTTAGACAAAGTCTTTTGTCTTTATTGTCTTATGTTTGGTGGCCCTAAATCCAATACTTTTTGGACTCAACTTGGAGTAAATAATTGGAAAAATTTTAAGCGTGACTTAGAGAGACATGAGTCATCTTCTATTCATAAGGATTGTGAATACACCAACATGACTTGGCTTGCAAATAAGCGTATTCAAGATCATTTTCTATCAAATAGGCTTGATATAATAATGGAAAATCGTAATATAGTTCATAATATTATTGATGCCATTATATACCTTATAAAATGTAACATAGCCTTTTGGGGCACTAATTCGAATGAAGGTAATTTTATGTGCCTCATAAAATTAATGGCAAAAACGGTTCCAACTTTACGGGCATACATTGATAACAACGAAAAATTGAGGAGAAAAAAATCAGATAAAATTTCAAGACCTTATATAAATTTATTGTCATATGGCCATGTGAAAAAAATTATTGAAGTCATTAAGATAAAAATAATAAAATGTATTATTCAAAAAATTAAAGAGAATTGTGCCTATAGCATCATATTAGATGGAACATATGATGTGTCTAAAAAAGAATGCATTGCTTTACTTGTAAGATATATAGAAGATGATCCGCATCCACATCCTGTAGAAAGGATCATCCATGTTTTTACAACATCAGAAACCACCGGGGAAAATATAAAGAAACATGTTTTTTCTAAGTTCAAAGATCTTGGTCTTCCTCTTGATTATATGGTTGGGCAAAGTATGGATGGTGCAGGGAATATGAGAGGAGTATACAAAGGAATGCAGGCTTTAATATTGAAAGAGGCTCCAAAAGCCATATATATTTGGTGCCATGCACATAGGCTCAATTTAGTAGTTGCTCATGTTTGTGGATGCAAAATAGAAATGAAAAAGGTAATGGGAATATTGGATGAGTTATATAATTTCATGAATGGGGTAAGACGTCAAGGAGTGTTTGTTAAATATCAAATGACAAAGTCTAAAAAATCTCTTAAAAGAATAAAAAATACAACAAGGTAAATATAATATTTTTAATGTAACTTATCTTTTTTTAGAAATTGGTCATCATCTTATAAAGCTGTAGAAATTTTTTTAGATGTTTATGAACATATTATAGCATCATTAAATGAATTAAAAGATTCTAATGACCCAAGCACCTCTTCTATTGCCGATGGATTATTAACAAGAATTAAGGATGAAGATTTCATATTAAGTCTATTTATTTTGAAAGAAATATTGAAATGCACACATGAGGCTTGTATTGAAATGCAGGCAGTTGGTAATGATTTGGCTATGGTAACTAAATTAATACAACACACAAAAAATAAATTACAAAGACTAAGAGGTTAAAATTAGTTACGATTTCTATAAATAATTTTAAAATGTAGCTAATGGGGATAATATTTTTTTAAAATTGCATTCCTTATCTAACAGTTATTTGAAAAAGAATAATGTTACAACGGAATTGCATAATATAAAATCAATATTCAAATTTGATCAAACAGCATTCAATAATTATGTTAAACAAAAAAAAACAAGTTGAATAAAAAAAGATTTAAAATTATTATTTAGCATTATAGATATAAAAGGGAAATATTTTTCCCTGTGCTTGATACAATCATTAATGATTTAAATGAAAGATTTAATTATGATTGTTTAAATTTTTTATCTCAAATATCTCTTTTTACACCAGCTGGAATTATAGCCAATGATAGAATAGAAGGGTGGCAAATATCTCAAATTTGTCATACTTACCAATTAAATGCTCAAGATATTGCTCGTGAATATAATGATTTTCGATCTTTATATTTGGATTCACAAGCAATCATTTATTGCAAGGATCTTTTGAAAATAAAAAAGAATGATGGGTTATATATTGATGAAAGTAATTTATTGATATTTTATTTAAAATTATATATAATTAAAGGTATTGTAAACGATGAAACCGAGGAAGATATCAATAACGATAACATAATTAATACAAAAAAATGGATAAAATATTCATTTATACTACCATATCGTCTTTTAAATAAATTAAATTCTTATTCTAATTTATATTTATTATATAAATATTTATTGACTCTACCAACTACTTCTTGTTCAGCCGAAAGAGTGATGAGCAAAGTCAAAATAAATAAAACTAGAATGCGGAATAAAATTTCTGACCCCTTTTTAGAAAATTTACTTCTAATATCCAGCGAAATTGATGTTTTTGAAAGATTTAAAATAGACGACATTATAACGCGATTTGCATCTACGTCTAAAAGATTAACTAAATTATTAATAAAATAAGTTATATCTTTTTCACAGCTAATTATATACGCCTTTTTAATAATGTAAATTTAATTTAATAGTTTTTTATATCATTCTAGTCCGGTGCATAATATAATACTATATTCATTTTATTTAAATATTTTATAATAGTTATATTTACATAAATGTTTTTATAATTCCAGTGCAAAATATATTATATTCATTTTATTTTAATATTTTATATAAAACTTATATTTACATAGATGTTTTTATAATTCCAGTGCAACTATATTCATTTTTTTCTCATATTTTATATAAAAGTTATATTTACATAAAAAAATTTATATTTCCAGTGCAAAATATTCTCTATTCATTTTATATTTTATATAATAGTTATATTTACATAAATGTTTTTATAATTCTTGTGCAAAATATACTATATTCTTTATTCTAATATTTTATATAAAAGTTATATTTACATAAAAAATTTTTTTATATAATAGTTATATCTATATGAATGTTTTTAATTAATATAAAGGCATTAGTATTTATAGAATCAAGCTATACCTCTTTAAAATTACTCATTTTGTTTTTTTTACTTAATATAAAGGTATTAGTAATTATAGAATCAAGCTATACCTCTTTAAAATTACTCATCTTATATTTTTTTACTAAATTTTTGATATTTTTTTATAGTAATGTAAATATGTTATCTCATTTAATACTATTATATTAATTTTTATGAAAATAAATTGATTATCAATCAAATTATGAAAAGATTGCACTACCTACTTAAATATAAGTTAATTGAAAACGGATAGTAACAATAGTTATCAGTTTGTAAATTTTTTTTTCCAAAGCAGGTCTGAATGTTTGTAAGGGTATAAATAGTGACTTAATATAAGATTTTCTTGATTAAGGCAAATATCGCGGCCGAAGGCCGCGAAATTTTTTTAGGGGGGTAGGGGTAGATTTGGGATGGGGGTTGCCTCCATCAAATTTTCTGCCATGTAGACGCTGCTTGCGCGCCCTCCCCTAGTGACGCCACTGTGCAAATAGACACAGGATCAAGATTTACTATCATACCTCCCGACATAGCTAAGAAAATTGGTATATCAGAAATTAAAAAATCCATACTACAACTAACAGCTTATGATAGTGATTAAATCAAAGTAATTGGTACAACTCAGATCAACGTAAATTATGAAGGTAACACATAAAAGTTACAAGCGGGGATTGTTAAATCAAGAAAAAATGCACTTAGGCCGTTCATTAACGCTTTAAAATATATCTTGAATAGGTTCATAGCAAAAATTGATACAAGTTATGATAATGATATTAAAAAACTGATCAAAAACTGCAAATCCAAAATGACCAATAGATAATTAACAAAGCAAATTTTAAGCTGTATTTAATGAGAGGCGCACAACCTAAAATTATACAACCAAGGCTTATACCGTATGTAAAAATTGATGTTGTGGGTAAAAAACTCAATAGATGGATACAAGAAAAAATCGTTTATGTTAGATGGGAAAGTCTTATAATCACTGTCTACAAGGATGATAGGCTTAGGTTTTGTGCTAATTTTAAAGACACAATTAATCCAGCTCTAGAAAATTTTAAATATCCACTTCCACGAATAAATTATTGAATAGCTAAACTTTCGGGAGGAATGAACCAAGATCTATTTTAAAAACACTTTTCTACAGATTCCCATTGATAAAAGTCTCAGAAATCTTTTGGCAATATCCGCACACAAGGGATACTCTCATTTTACCAGATTTCCTTTTAGGCTAAAGACCTCATCTGCAATTTTTCAACAAATTATGAATCAAATGTTTGGTGATATGAAAGTTGCTATATTTTATATTGATGATCTATTTATAATTGGAAATAACGACGAAGCTCATTAAACAACATCAAAAAAGTTTTTGAAAGAATCTTGTTATATGGTTTAGTACCTAATTTTACCAAAAAAAGTGAAATTCGTTTTCTGGATCATGACATTGACGCTAAGGGGATTGCGAACCACGACAGGATCAAAGCAATAATAAACATGCCAGAACCAAAATCAGCTGCTGAACTATCAACATTTCTGGGAATGGCGGGCTACTATAGAAAATTTTAAACAATTTTTACAGATATTGCATATCCGTCATACAAAATTGTCAACAAAGAAAATGGGAATGGAATTTAAAACACTCTAGAAGTTTTAATGAATAATATCTATGGTTAGTCTTCCTCCAACATTGATTTATTTTAACCCTAAATTGCCAATCGGAATTGCTACTAGTGCATCTAAATGTGGTTTGGGAGCTGTATTATTTCAAACTGAAAAAGATGGTCTAGAAAAACCAATAGCTTTTGCATCAAGAACTTTGCTAAAATCTTAAATGAATTACACCAACATTGAGCGTGTGGCTCTCCTGCTATTATGTTCGCTATCCAGGAATACTTAATTAGGACTAAATTTACAATTATCACAGACCCTCTAATCCATATTTTAACTAAAGGACTTAAGGACAACACTATCTTCTTAAGACTACAGAAATAGAACATAACTTTAGGAGGTCACGATTTTAACATAAAGTATAAAGTTGGAAAATACAATGTTGTTTATTGTCTCTCAAGATTACCACAAAAAGTTAATGATGAAGTTGAAACTATTACAATTAAAAATGACTTAGGGGATATACCTATTAACTTTAACAAAATACGTGACGAAACTTTTAAAGATATTGAAATATCGCAAGTCATAATGATATAAAGAATAACGAAACAACCTATAAAAAACAAAATATATAAAAATATTGAATTGGAACTAAGTATTATTAAAAATTGTCTTTACAAGAACAACGAAATCATAATTCCATCAAGTATGAGAAAAAACGTACTGCAAACATTACATGAAGGTCATTTGGTAGCGGGAAAAATCAAATCCTTAGCCAAAGATTATATGTGGTAGTCCGTTATGAATAACAACATAGAGATGGAAGTAAAAAGTTGTGATGACTGTAATACATGTTTTGACAGTCCTAAAAAAAATAAAAAACTAATTTGAAAGGATACATATATATTATGCGGCTCCATTTTTCATGAAGAATTGGTTGATAATAGTCAGTAAATTTCCAATTAATGTTCCTATCAAAAACATTACAACTGAAATCTAAAATTTTTTTTTAACATCTCTTTATTAGGAATACCTGAAACTATAGTCAATGATAATGGTACTAACTTCACAAGTAATCTTTTCGGGAAATTTTGCAGATTACGGCATAAAACATATACCTACGTCCGCATACCACCAGTAGTCTATTGGCCAGGTGAAACGTATGGTTAAAACGTATGAAAAGAAATATTTAAGAGTGATTTAGATACTTCATTTTCACTTAAATTCTTATTTAATTATAGAAACACACCAAATGCTACAACAGGAGTTGCACCTTCTAAAAAATATTTAATCGCGACATTAGAATGAGATCTATTAAAACCGTTAACAAAAGGAAGATAGAGCATAATACTATCACGTAATAGAATCATGAAGTATAAGATTTTATTTGGTATAAAATACAAGGAGATAAATGGGATAAAGGCATGATCACACACAAAGAAGGTGATATGATGTTCCAAAAAAGGTATTGTAAGGAAATATTTAGACCAGTTAAGAAAAAGAATATGTTATAATACGTTTTTAAATCATAATATTAACAACTCTGATTTTTTTTAAGGAAGGAAGTGTGGACCCATATAAAAATATTATAAATAAAGACATATTAGCGCCATTTCTAGACTTATACGAATAAAACAAAAACCTACTTACTTAAAAGATTATGTAACTTAAAACAAATATTTAACACTTAAAACGCGAATTAAACATTAAAAGTATGATATAATAATAATCTTATTGATTTATCATTCCAACATTCGATTATTCAATTCAATTCAATTCTATTCCATATATTATTCCGATAATTCAGTTATTCTAATACAACTGATTGACGATGATAACAATTTGAAAATTGGTAATAATAACAACGGAGTACGACAATAAGCTAATTAGACAAAATTATGATTGATGAAAACAACTTACGATAATGACTTATGCAACAACGAGAACAGCCAAAACGATAAACTATTCGAACAACAAGCTCTCATGACAGCTTATATGAAATTATGGGGAAAGCTTCTTAGAAGAGGGAGAATGTTGGATAACAGAAATATTTATTTGAATATTAACTTATTCTTTATTTTTATATTAACCTTTTCTTTATTTTCATATAGAAATATATATTTGAATATTTAGCTCTTAACTTATATTTTTTATATTTTTATATTATACGGAGTCATTCAAATCTCACGAGAGATATTTTATTATATAAACTATAGCAGAGTTGGGCAGGTCCTCTTGAAAAAGAATCTAGATACAGATATAGATTCTTTGTGAAAAAATGAATCTAAGATACAGATACTAGTATCTTTTTCAAAATATCAAAAAGATAAAAGATACTTGTATCTTTTACTTAATTAGAGTATCTTAAATACAAGATACTTTTAAATTATCATTACCAATTAAATTAGAATAGCTTATAAAACACAATTTTTACTATTTATTTGTGAAGAACGTAACATAAACATATAACAAGAATGAATATTTACAAAAATTTATAAAACATTTAATGATGAGTTAATTATAATAATCAGGTTTTTTACCATAGAATAAGAAGGGAGACTATATTTTTAATTGGAGTTGAAATATTAATTTTCAGAGTATTTAAAATACATTCATTATAAGACAATCAAATTTTTTAAATAATTTATCATCAAACCTTTGCCGTTTCGGCGTACTTAACATTGTACCAAAACTAAATAACCCTAATTGGAGCTGATGAAGGTATTACAGTATTATATGTATAAAAAATTTCATTAATGGAAGGATAATAATTAAGCATTTATAATATATTTCGACTTAATATAATTTAAAACCTCCAGTTCAATATTATTTGTATTATTGAACTCAGTATCATTTGTTTCACTAAAAGAAAAATAATCAACGTTTGATCTTGATTATATACTCTGATACTACATTTAGGGCTTTTTTATTAAGATATTTTGAAATTATTTTTTTTATTATCCGACTCAATCGATAAGTTCTTAAAATATGGATGTGATTTTGATATCAAAGAAGCCACATTATATTCAAATCATATGAAAATATTTTCTTAAAATCTTTTGCCCATACCATCTTAGGCAGCTTTTAATAAAGGTAGACAATATTGTAAACTTGAATTTTTAAGATAACCTATGCCCCTTTTAACTACACATAAATAATATACTTTATTATGTTTAACAAAATTGTGTTTAATTTATCATTTTTTTGTTTTATACAGGTTTTACATCTAGCCTGTAAATTGTCTCTTATAACTTTTATTTTAAAAAAATTTCCAAATTTCAAGATTGGGATATAATTCAGGGGAATTTATTTCTATAAATAAATTTCACACCATGAGTGGTGATCATCCTACAAATTAAAAATATTGCATAAAATTGGTAATGATATTCTATCGAGGTACATTTATATATAAAATATAATCTATACTTATTTCGTTTTGGTGTTATTTTTTATCTTTCTACCTCAATACGAGTTGTTAATTTTACAGGTAAATTTTGTCAATATATTAAAATATGGCAGAAAAAAATATGGAAATTAATACAAGATTTTCGAATTTAATAAAATATATACTGTGATATGTAAAATTTTAAACATGAATATTAAAAAGAATCTGTATCTGTATCTTAAGTCAAGAAAATGAAAAAAAGATACAAGATTTTTTTCAGAATAAAGGATCTTAGATACAGATACAATTATCTTATTAGAAATGTCAAAAAGATACTGAGTACAAGATACAAAAGGATCTTGTATCTTGTATCTTAGATACAAGTATTAGCGGTACTGCCCAACTCTGAACTATAGAAATAATATGCATTTTTAGTTTTTTTGTGTTTGTATTTCTTATTAATAAATACGTTTTTTAAATAAAATGAATAACTTTTTTTAACATTAGCCATAATTAGTGTTGTTAAATGGCTCGTTTTGAGCCGATTTTTAAAAACGGCTAACTCAATATTTTGTCCAGAAAAATATTACGCAAGCCTCAAGAATTTGCTCATAGAAGGAATAAAGGTCTAGGCATATATTATCGAAATCTCGAGACTTAGGCAATATTTTTCTGGCTAAAATATTGAGTTAGCCGTTTTAAAAAATCGGCTCAAAATGAGCCGTTTAACAACACTAGCCATAATCATCATAAATTAAATAAATATATTTAGTTATTTATAAATTATTTCAATATAAGAGAAAGCGATATAATATAGACGACTAAACAGATGATTCTTGAAAAATAAGATGAACCCTGACACGGCCTATAACTTTCATACAATATCAATTTTTTTTTAACTCGTCTCAAAAAAGAGTGGTCATAATAAAAAATCTTTCCCTCATCGAGTGACCTAGCTCAAAACAGAAGGTATGTAAAAAATTGTATACTTTAAAAATTTTTCTCATGGAGTAAAAAAACACAACTCTGTAACAGAGTCTTAAAATTTTCACGCGATATGGTTGCGAGCAAAAATGGGTAAGGTGAAAATTTGAATTGGGAAAACATTTTCTCGTTCTCGGACTTTGAATTATAAACTTATTTTGGACGGGACTTGGATCTCGAAAAAAATTTAAATTATTTTGATTCCTAATGAATAAAGCGTAAATAATTGATTTCCTTCAAAATTTTGGGCATAGCGAACTTGTCACTTTGAAAAAAAATTCTCGGAAATACAAAATAAAAACCATTTTGCCTCTGTCTCTCCCATTCCCTATCATCCTTTAGCCCGAATATCACGATTAAAGGATAAATTTAAAAAATCAGGTGGAGCCGATTGACAAGAATTAGCCAAGAAAATATTTATTATACTGGTCTATTCAGCAAGCATTAAGCAAAATATTGAAACTGCCGACCACAATCAAGATGAAAGATCACGTCTTGATTTTATATTAAATTATTTATAAAATTTATACAAAAAATGCAATTAATTTTAATAAATGCTTAAATTACTGTAAAAGATAAATTTTAATAACTATTGATTCTTAAAAAATATGCTCAGTCTGTGGCTCACTAGTTGGCAGCCGACTCATAAAGTCGGAGTCTATTTTTCGACTAACTCGCGTCTTGGTTGACTCTTCTTAGCCACTTAACAACATTAATCTTGAGTTGATATCATGCAAATTTATTATAGATTTTGAATTTAAAATGAGTCTAGTATATATATTTATAACGTAACAAATAACACCCTCAAGTTATTTTGGAACAATTAGATTCACATAAATTAAGACTAACGGGAATTTTCATATTCTCAATATAATCAATGATCCAGATTGGTTCATTATAAATATAAGAATTATTATAACTTCATGACTAATTTTAGATCTTAAATCTTTAAAATGCGAGCCTATATAAGTATTCCACGCATAATAAAGTTTGAAACTAAAATTTTCACCAAATCATCAAATAATCAGAATGCATTTATTTAAAATATCAATTATATATCCACCATTTTTGATTTGTTATCTGACTTTTAGTTCTAATACCATTCAAGCTTGAAAAATAGAATTAGCAGCGGTTTTTATTTATTTGAAAATAGATTTGATAAATAGTAATCAAAAGTATCGTCAATATAACTATATACCAAAGTAATATTTTTTGGTTAAAATATTGGGCTAGCCTTTTTAAAAATAGAGCCGTTTACAACACTATTAGTTAATATATTATTTTTAGGATATGAGATAAAATATTAAAAACTTGTATAAAATCATTTTAGCATTTTGAAGAAAATAAATATATTATGCTGTGTTGCAACAATAATTTGTTAATATTTTTTTTTAACCAAAATAAATATATATCATAAGTATAAATTATTAAAAATTTGTTATAATATACTTCTTTCTGCTAAAAAGATTGGCTGTTTTTTATTGAGTTTTTTTTAGTGGATATAGAACAACATTTTTTGGGAAAATTATTTATTAATCAATTTCTTTTAAAAATTAATATAAATATTTACTAAAGTGACGTATTTCTGACTCCCCTGTTTACACAAAGTATAATTCGTAGTATTTCAATGTTTGAATTGAATTTTCGCGAATATTTATTTTTTAAATTGTTTTTTTTAAAACGTATATATAATAAAACATTTGAATATTTTTTTTTTAAAATTAATCTTTTTAAAAAAGTAATTAGCTAAAATAATATTGTTCATATCTTTTTTTAAAAAAAATAATATATTTATCTCTTATATAAAAGTTGTTTAACTTGATCTAAAAAAAAATTAAATAATTATTTACAAAAGCCAGAATAAAACTTTTTTTTAAAAAAAAAAATGATGACTCTCAAATTAAAAACAATGCCCAGGTCAATTATAATATTTAGTATAATAGTTTTTATCGTAGCTATATGCGTATTGGAATATTGCAACAAGTTATTGAGTTCATCAAATTATTATTCTCTTTACCCCAAATCCATACATTCGTCGATCTCAAGAAAACATCCGTTAAATCCTCCAGAACCAATCGTGCTTGATGCGCAAAATGAGAGAACAAAAATCATCCATAGACAAAAATGGAATTCTTATGTATCAAGTTCTCATTTAGCTGATATCGGTCAAATTTATCAAAAATGCGGTATATTCTTAACTCATTTTTTTTTGTAAAGTTAAAAAATAAAATAGATTCGTTTTGACACATTATATTATCTTAAAAAACAAAGGAAAATATCATTTTATAAATTTTAATTCACAATTATATTTCAAGGTTAGTGAATTTGATTTGATTCAAATGTTTTTTTTTGTAAAATAAAAAAATTTTGGATGAAAGGGAGGAAGGTGGTTGGGAGGGATCATTTACTAAAATCATATCAAAACCATTTCTCCTGCATAAAAAGCGTAACCTTCAATTATCTTCAAACTCACTAATTCACTTTTTTTACTAGTTTATTTATTAGTAAATACATAATATATCTTATTCATTTAGATGAAGCAACAAAAATGATAGTGGGGAAAATACTGTTAAATAATATAACAGATTCGGGAGAAGCAACCGTACGATTCTTGGCCAATATTACTTTGGGTATGATTATATATATATCAGCTAATAGAAGAGCACCTACAGGTGCGTAGATAGACTTTCATTTATTGGGGAGGGGTGGGATAATTATTTTCTTGATCTTTGTTGGGAAAGTGATTATATCAATTCTTTGCGCGAGTAAAAGTTTAGCTTAAACTACTCATTGACTCTATTAGCTTCATAGGCGATGAATTGAATGAGTTCACTAATTTTGTTGTTTCTTACCGTTGTTAGCAAATTGTTCCTTTGGCAACATCCCAAGACATGACCAAAATATTTAAAATTCTCCGACTACGTGATTAAGTTTAGAAATAAGATGCCAATCTTTGGCAAACTTCGGAATCTGTTAAATTAATCCATATTATTGTGGATCTTAATTAAATGCTTTATAGAAGGTATGGCACCAGAATTTCTTTCTCTTTTTAATAATTTTTTAGTGTTAATTTCGCAATTTGTACTAGTAGATGATAGTAATTTGGAAGCATCAAGTTAAATAAATTAAACGCTTTAAGTACATTGAATAAGACTTGGCCACTTATTTTTTTTAAAAGAAATTGGGCACACTTTTTAAATACCCCTAAAACCCTAGATATCTATAATAAAATAACATATCTCTTAAAATCTTAGAAAAAAGGTAAAGCGCTTCATTCATTTCTTGCAACCAGCATCTACATTGTAGGATATTCACTGGAGGCAAACTCCTCTCAAAAACCTATACCTACCCCCCCCCCTCCCAAATTTCTCCCCCACCTTCATTTCTTATATTATTAATTGCACGTTTTTAATTATAATGATATTCCCTTCGTATATTTTAAAAAGAATAAATTAAATTATCAATACTCAACAACCAATTATCAAAAAATTGTGAATGTAAAAGTTTTTTAGAACATGAATTAAATTAAAATTCCTATCATTTACAATAAATGCATTATTATAGCATATTGTTTGATATAAATATTAGTTTGTTAATAGAATGTCTAACCCTTTATATTTAAAAAGATAGCAGGAAATTATCCAGAAATAAGTTTTATTTGAAAATAATGACTATATATATAGTATTGGCCGATATTTAGCAATCTATTTATATTATAATAGGTCTGTACAATTCAATGTTTTGAATGAGAAAGCAATTAATTTCCACTCCAATTTAATTAATAATGATTAAGATTAAGAATGAGGACAGCTAATTAATTTATTAAAATATATAATTGCTAAATACTTTCGCTAACTCTAATAATTAAAATTTACACACTATAAAAATCCTTCAAATATAATATAATCAATTAACATTTTTATAAAAACAATCACGATAATTATGACACCCTTTCCCTTAATTAGGCTAAAATACTGGTTGTGTTAGCATCTTAAACTCATACTAATTGTCGAACTCCATTCTGAACTGCCAATACCGGATAGTTAGCTATACGATCGATTAATTTTAGCCTTTGGATCTTTCTGTGCTTCTGACGACCATTACTAAGAGATTGAGTTATCGCATATTTTGTCAAAGCAACTCCTAAATACTTATAATGTTCCATATTTTCTGTTTCTATTGATCTCTCATTAAACGATTTCGTTTTTTCTAGTCTCTAATGGTCTATGATAAACGCTAATGTCTTCTATAATCATAAAATATCTTGTCAAGATCATGATAAACGAAAAAGATCTCTGTAACGATAAAGTTCTATTGTAATGATACCTAACTCTGTAACGATACAGATCACTCATAACATTACCGATCCCTTCTAACGATGCCGATCTATTTTAGCTATAACGATCTATTGTACTATAATGATTTCTTAACGATAACTAATTGTACTGATATTTCTAGTCATGATAACAATCTCTTGTAACTAAAGCGACTAATTCTATACTCTTTATAATACGTTGCTTCTAACTATATCTTCTAAAATTTACTCTTCTTTTTTTACAACTATTTTCCCAGAATTGATTCTCTTGAAGTATATCTATGATCATTTCATTAATCTCTTCTCCTCTTTTTTAAAAATTTCCTATTTCGAGTAGTTATGAAGTTTTAGGCCCCATGTGTAAAATTCGAAGTTTTGAATGAGAAAGAAACTCATTCCCACTCTATATTCAATTACTAATTATTAAGATCAAGAATTGAAGATAACAATTTAATTTATTAAAATATATAGTTCCTCAATTAAAAATAATAAAACTATAACTGTTCCTACCCCTCCCCTTACCCCCACGCTCATGTAGACGCTGCTTGCAACGCATTTAATTAGGGTATTCAATAATATTCATAATCTTCTCTAAGGAGTTAGCCTTGAAATTTATAATGATGTATTATTAATATAATTAGTAGTCAATTAGAAAATTAATATTAAGGATAGGTGGCAAATAAATGGTTTCATGTCAATTTAGCGAAATTTTTATCGCGAAGTGATTTTATAGCGAATCCAGGTTAATGAATACTATTTCGAATTTTTTATAGCAAAACTTCTATCGCAAAACCTTTAAAGCGAATACATAACTACAAAATTTTATAGCGAACTTATCTCGAAACTTAAATTGCGACAATATAGCGAGAATTATTTCGCGAAAAAAATATCGCGAAGATATTATAGAAAATTTAATATAGCGATAATTGCTAATAATGACTAATTATTTTTAAACATTAATTTTTTAATTATATTAATTGAATAATATTTTAATAAAAAATAGGTGCAAGATTGATTTAATGATATAGTTTGTAATTTTTATTTAACCTTAATAAATATATATAATGATTAATGAACCTAGATTTGGTTTATAAAATTTGTTATTGAAATATACTTTTTTGCGATCCTGTCTTATGATTTTCTTCGAAGTTCTTATTTTATATGAATCGCGCACAAGGAACTCAGCTTTATTATTATATTAATCATTGAGTTTATTTGTTAAATCTTGATCCTTACTAGCGAAATTGATATCCGGGTTGCATTAATATTTATAGTCTTATGACTTAATATTTATAAATTCATCAATCAGGCCAGGGTTGGAAAGTAGGTCAATTAACCGGTCAAATTTAGTCATTTGACTGGTCAATTGAACGGAGGAGTATTTAACCTGGTCAAATACGGTCAAATATTCTAAAAAATCTGAAGATAAAAATATGTTTGAAAAACGATAAAAACGATATAAACACATGTGATCACAATGCTATTGAGTCCATAATATTAAGAGGAGCATTTTATTAATAGTGAATTTAATGAAGTATGTGATATAATACAAAAATTAGGCGTACAAGGTGGCGATGATCAAAATATTTCAAGTGATATCATAAATTTCAGAAGTGAAAGCGGCATGTTTAATAGAAAATTATAGAGAAAGATTCCAACCTCAAGCATTGGAATGAGCTTTGATCACCATGGCTATTAAGAGAAGTGACAATTTACTAACAATTCCTAGTTCTACTTCTTTCAGAAAGAAATTGGTCAATTATCTTACTAAAAGAGAAATCGATTGAAGATTTCGACAACAAGAAAATTGATCAAAAAATATTAAAGAAAATGATGTTATTGAATATGGGGAAAAATATTTATTTAAATTTGACCTTATTTGACCGGTCAAATACACAACACTGGTTTTGACAGTCACTAACCAAAAACAGAGTAGCTAAATAAAAACTATAACATTACTATTTAGAGTGTCAATTTTGAATGGCAATTCAAAAATAAATTACATCCAAGTGAAATAAGGGATTTCCCTAATAACTATTCTAATTCTTGAACCTTATTATTTTACGATCTTTATCGATATCGTTTTATCTTTTCTGTTTACTTAAATATAATATTTAGTTATTTAAAAAAAATTTAATAGAAATCGGAATCATAATTAAGATATAGCCGTATGAACGAGGTTTGCCAAACTTTGGACAAGCATTAATTCTGAAGCTTTAAGCCAACATGTATTGCTTCATAACAAAACAATACATGTCGGTTGGTGCTTCAACATATATTATTTTTTCCCCCATCTCAGAATTAAAACTATTTAAAGCAATTTTTGCCTAATTCCCAAAAGATGATTTTGCTAAGTAAAAATTTTAACTTTCTCAGAATTTTCACTATTTTTTTATTTTTAAGTGCATAAACATGATTTTTTTAGTTTTAAAATTAATCATTACTCTATGCAAGTTTAGTCATGAAGGGTGGGAGGGGGGAGGTAAACTCTATTTTTTTTTATCTAGACAAGGGTATCAAATGAAAGTCAATAAAATGACTTTGATTGTTATTAAAATTGCCCATCACTCTATCTATGACCTCGGGTCTAGGTTTGGAGAGATTTAAATATTTTTTATAAGAAATATCGGGCAGGGACATCCAGAGTATCAAACCGTTAAGCATAACGGTTCGGTTCGTTCCGGTTTTTAGTTTAAAATTTTATAAAGGTTTTGTTCCATTTCGGTTTTTTAAAAAAAATTTCATATCGGTTCGGTTTATAATTTATAACGGTTCTTTTCGGTTTGTTCCGGTTTTTATAAATTTGATTTTAAAAAAAATTAATCATTAACCATGTATATATTAATTTTAGAGAAAAATCTTTTTAATTTATAATTTCTTTTAATTTAACAATGATAATCTTATAGATATTTTTATTAAACTTAGTAAATATAAATACAAATTAAATTTTTTTTATTTCATAAATAAGATAAAAACAAACATGCCTAAAATGATAAATAAAATAACGCATAAATATAATAAAATGCATACTATTTATGTTTAAAAAGAGAATTAGAATGGATAACTAACATATTTTCTAATATTTCAGGATTTTATTTAGTTCTCTGCGCAGAGAGTATAAACTTAAGGCTAGAAAATGCTCTTTACCTGCGTAGCTGGAACTGCTAGCAGAGTGCTTATAAAGTTCTGGCATACTATTATTTACATTTTCCCAATAATTCAAAAGATTGGTATCTTTTTCTAATCTCTCTATATTATCAAATGACCGATTTATATATTCTATTTTTATACATTTATTATAATTTTCTATTTGAG